GAGGGCCGACCTCGGTTTGGGGATTTCTTGAACAAATCCAGCTGTTTAACGTGTCGTGGACGCGAACCCAGAAGAGAAGCTACTTTTCATTCTCATGAGTCCCCAGAACCCGGTACTTCATTCACGTTAGATCTTTAGCGCGTGCCTCCTGTATCCCGGGGATCATGCCATGCTCCACAGGTAGAGACCACCCCGGGCTTTCCCTCATCCTGCCATTGAAACAAGAGAAGAGGGTGAGCAAAGTACAAGGAGGTTTTTCAGAGAAGAGGCCCCGGGGAGGGTGGAAAGCTCAGGCCTCCACCACAGGGTTGCGGGGAGTGTTTTCACGCACGGTGCAGGCCCAGAAATTAATAAAATGAGAGACCACCAGCCCAAGAGCAATGGACACGTGGATGCACGTTGGCCGAGCACAGAGTGGACTCTTTGAGGGACTCGACGTCGAGCATCTGTGTTGAATTGAGACTCACGTTGCAGCACTTCCCAGCTCGCCACAAACGGTGGCCCTTCCATCAGCGCCACTTGAGCGTCTTCTTTGATGGCCTTGCAGGAGTCGCCTCTGACGCAACCGCTACTTCCTCCTTGAGTTTTACGGGACTGGTCCTGCCAGCCAAGTTGTGTAGTTGGATGCACTTCTACAAAGATTCTTTTATTTTTATTTTTTTTAATTTTTTCTTTTAAAGATTCATTTATTTATTCATGAGAGACACAGGGAGAGACAGAAGCAGACGGAGAAGCAGGCTCCATGCAGGGAGCCTGATGTGGGATTTGATCCCGGGTCCCCAGGGTCATGCCCTGGGCCGAAGGCAGCGCTAAACCGCAAAGCCACCCGGGGATCCCCCAAAGATTCTTTAGAAGACTGTATTTATTTATTTATTTATTTATTTATTTATTTATTTATTTATTTTAGAGAGAAGCAGAGGTGGGGGGAGAGGTTGGCTGAGCACGGAGCCCCACGCGGGGCTCGATCCCAGGACGCCGAGGTCACGACCTGAGCCAAAACCAAGGGTTGGACGCCGAAGGAACTGAGCCGCTCCGGCGCCTCATGCGTCTACAAATTTCAAGACGTTTCCTTCAAACTTTTTTAGGAAAACTTCTAAAGGTCAGAGAAGTTGAAAGAAGGCTGAGGTGAATACCTGCGTATCCATCCGTGCAGTAGGGCCGAGGGCTGCACAGCCTGTGTCCTAATCCAGCCCCAGGCCTGGTGTTGTGAAAAAAATGTCGGAATATGCAGGCTCGCGTTCATTTCTTAATCATCCGGCTCGGAGGACAGAATCAAGCCATTTTGGCAGAGATGGTTAGAGGCCCACGAAGGCCCAGGCTTTTACAGAGAAACCTTCCCAATCCCTAATTCTTAGATTCACCGGTTGTTAATATTTTGCCATATTTGCTTTATCCCTTTCTCCGCGACAGGCAAACATTCTCTTTCTCTCCGATAGGCGCACACCCATGTTTTTTTTTTTTCTGACCCTTTGAAATTACGTCACAGACATTATGATAAATCGTCCCTGAACCGTTTCTATATTTGCTTAAAAATAAAAGCACTCTGGAGATTCCCCCAAGAGATTAAAAATAAAAATAGCATATGACCCAATAATTCCACTACTGGGTATTTACCAAAAGAAAATAAAAGCGTCAATTCAAAAAGAAAAAATAAAATAAAAATACTTTCCTCTGCAGCCGCAATAACCTCATCATCCCCCCCCTTAAGAAAATCAATATTCATTCAATAACATCATCCAACACACAGTCCATATTTAAATTAGGTGTTTATAGCCCTTTTTTTCCTTTTTGGATCTAGGATCCCAGCAAGGTCGTAAGTTCCACTTGGTCATCACGTCTCCTTCATGTCCAGTTCTTGTTTTTTAATGACATTGAATTTTTGGAAGAGTCCCTTAAAACCTTTTTCTGAAGCCTCACCAAGTTTTAATGGGTGCGTAATGCTGCAATAGTGAGAGCTGATGTAATGCTCAGGGCCACCCATCAGTGACTTCTGCTTCCCTCCTGTGGGCCTGAGACACTGCTGTACCGCTCAGCGTCTGCAGCGAAGGCACGGAGACGTGAGTTTTGCTTGGAATCATACGTGTGGAAAAAGCTCAGCGTGAAGAGCAAGGCAGATGGGAATTTGCAGGATGCGTTTTACGTAATTAAAGGCCCAGTCCTTTTTACCCACTCTGGTGCCCCTGTTAGCTCTTGGCCACGGAGCCCTTCTGGCTTTTCTCCTGCCCGGGCCTGGCTCCCCTCCAGCATCATCAGGCTGCAGCGAGGAGCTGGAGGGAGACCCGGAGTCATTAAGTCTCCCGGCCCCAATCGTTCAGCCCGGCTGGCAGCACAGCACTGTTGGGTTTGCCGTCTGTGTGATGAAGGTGGTGTGGCACTCAGGGTCACGGCTGGGGATGCCTACGGGAGGTGCGCCTCCTTGCCTTTCTTAAGAAACGGAGGTGCCACAGTCATGTGCTTCTTAGGGGCCTCTGTGCAGCTCACCATTGGTCCTTGTATTGCGATCCCGAAGGACTCCTACAGAGCCCCAATACTACGATCCCGAAGGACTCCTACAGAGCCCCAGGACCCATCCTTTCTTTTCCCTCCGGGGAGAAGCCCTCAGGGCTCAGAGACCAAGCAAGAAGATGGTTGCATGCCGTAGAAAAGACTCACATGAACATCTAGTCGAAGTCTGGAGGTGGGGGGTGAGGGGGATGGAGAAAACCTCGAAAAGAAATTGGATGAATTCTAAAAAATATTTTATTTATTTATTCACGAGAGACACACACAGAGAGGCAGAGGGAGAAGCAGGCTCCCTGCAGGGAGCCCAATGGAGGACTCGATCCCGGGACGCACTGGGCTGAAGGCGGCGCTAAACCCCTGAGCCATCCGGGTGCCCCGAAATTGGATAATTTTAAAACATGCCAAGTGACCGAAGGAGAGACGGACGGGGGGTGGCTAACTTCAGACTGTGACCGGCTGGTTGTCACTCATGAAGGACACAGTCTCGTGCAAATGCAAGGACACAGGCCAAACAAGGGAAAGATATTCTGGGAGGTGTTGCCCTCCATGCCCGGGGGGTGGGGGGGTGAGATTGTGGTATCTCCTCCTCGGTTTCCCTGCCTCCTGTCTTACTTCCCTGAAGTCCTTCACACCCTGCACCTTCCCCGCACCTGTCCTCCGGCCATCTCCCTCTGCCGCCAATCTGGGCACCGTTTCTCAGATTACAGCCTACCTTCCAGGGCCGCCACAACGCCCTGTGGCCTCCAGAGCATCATCTTCCTTTGGCGCCACCTCAGATTTGATGCCCGAGCTTGTCTTGTATGCCGTGTGTTTGCACGTCCACCCCTTGCTGCACGGCCTCGGGCCAGGTGCTTGGTGGTTCTGTGCTGCAGGCTGCTCATCCGTAAATGGGGATGATGGTAATACCTGCTGTCGGCACCTACGGGGTCCCTAGTAAGGTAAGCCGGGAGTACCTACTAGGGCAGCGCAGGGGCTATGTGAGTTAGCGCGTAGGAAGCTCGTGGGGGGAGTACTGAGCCTAGAAGGGCCGTGCACAGCCAGCCATTCGTTGCTGTTGCTCTTTTGGTTTTGCGCCCGGGTAGATTAACTTTTGGTCGCTGCATTAAAAATTACTATACACTTAGAGTCTTAGGTCAGCACCCACTTCTTTTCTTAGTTTCCGTAGATCAGAAGTGTGGACGTGGGGTGACCTCTGCTCGGGGTCCCACGGGGCTGAAGCCAAGGTGTGTGCGGGAGCTGAGTCCCACCTGAGCTTCCAGGCCTCGCCCCAGCTTCTGTGGTCGTTGACAGGGTTCAGCTCCTTGCAGCCATTGAACCCTGGGCCACCAAGAACTCTGCTCACTTTCCTTTAGATCCTCCTGGGGTTACGTGAGGCCCAGTCAGATAATCTTCCTTGGGATTAACGCAGAGCCAGCTGGTTAGGAAGAGAACCGCAGGGGGAGGTCCAGCACACTCACGGGCCTTGCCCTCGCGGGGAGGCGACTGTGCAGGGTGTGCGCAGGGAGCAGCGCTCCCAGGAGTCACCTCTTGCCTACAGACTGGGTAACTGGGAAATCCTCCGCCGCGTGCCTGCTTTCTTGAACTGCGTCTGCGTGAGTATATGATTCGGTGACCACTGCCCCCATCGTTTCAGATTTTTGTAGCAACTTTCTTAGGGCATTCGGATGGATTCACGGCGCTCTGGCCCCTGGAACCAAGCCTACCATTCCTCTCCTGTAGTTCTAACTGGTGGGACCCGGTAGCCCGTCAGAAGTCTTCTAGGAAGAGGACAATGAGGGACCCGTAACCGAGGAGCCGACTGCTGATACCCTGGGATTGCAAACGGGTGGCCCCTGGTTGCAGTCTTTTCCAGAGTCTTCTGCATATTCTTGACTCCCGGCGATGAAGGGCCGAACCTTTGATTGTCTGATGTGCCTGATATGTACCTGCTAGAGGAAAGGTTCCCTTCAAAAAAGGCCTTGTGCGTCATTTTCAAAAGCTTTCCTCGCTCCTCTTCCTTCCCTTCACAGTTAAGTCTATATTTTTTTCCCCACTTAGCGCAATTTATGGTCCACAAAGCGGTATTATCAGTCAAAACCTGCTGATGAAGAATGCATGTTAGAAGATCAATTTAAAAGAAAAGCCTGTTGCTGACATTTGGGTGGTAAAACTAAGTTTTAAAAGAATCTATCCAGTTTGAACAAACTCTAGCAATAAGAAATGGGCAAAACCTTGAAGTTCTAAGGGTTACTTGGCTCCTAGGAAGATGGTTGGTTCTGCTTTTCAATGATATTTTACTTGCTGTTTTATATAAATCTGTTAAAGTAAAGGGGAAAAAATGCATCTGGCATACTCTAATAAAGTAAGATTTTATTATCCAACGAGCCATAATTTAGATCCGACTCTTGCCGTCTTAACAACTGGCGTTCCTCTGGTAATCTGGACTATTAAAGAGGAGGGGCTGGTCCATAAAGGTAATACAAGGTAATATAGACCGGGATTTCTTTTTTTCCTTTCAGGACAATATCATCTTATTCTTGAGAGGTTGTAAAGAGCTTGGCCTGAGGGAATCTCAACTTTTTGACCCTAGTGACCTACAGGATACATCCAACAGAGTGACCGTCAAGTAAGTAACACAAGATTTACGTGTAAGGAAAACTTATGGTTTGATTCGCAGCTTTGTGGTGATGTTGTAAGTAAGGTCTAAGAGGCCGCATACTAGACGTGTCTCATGAAATAAAAATGGGAAGGTAAAAATTAAGCTTTCAAAACAAGACACGTTGGCCTTGCGACTACGACTACGAAACTTTCATTCTGGTCAAATGTGATTTCTTTGAAATGCAAAAATCACGCAGAGAGAGTTAGAATGCCAAAGAGGAGAAAAACGTTAAGTGGGACTTACTGGAGGGAGAGGCAAGAGAGAAATATGCTCAGAACCCCCCTGTGTTAGACTGAAAGCCTTCATTGGCTCCAGTTGGGCATTTGAATAGGCCCTCGGGAGGGTACAGACTTGGTAAACAGATCCGGACTCTGATTATTATGCAAAGAGGGCAAGAGATTATGGAGAAATTGCTTCCTCATTTACATGGGTAACTGTTTTCTCATGTGTCAGTGATCAGGTTCTTTGAAGATGGATTATTGGCTGTTTGACTGTAGTTGACTGTGTCTACTCACTGAGCCAGGTTTGCGGCCAAAGAATTTTTGGGAAAGAATGGCACAATAAGGGAAAAGACAGTGTGTCTCTTGGGAAAGAAATAGCTGATGGGAAAAAAAAATAGCTGGTGAGCAGGGTGATGAGAAGAAAGCAGCTCATGGGGCGGTATTGATGACCTTCCTGTAGTTTAGAAGTTCTTCCCACCCTACAGAGTTCACACAGAACACTTGCGACTGCAGTCAGATAATATTTGGCATGATATTGCCAGATATCTGAGGGTCTGTGGGCTGGCTACGCTTCTTTTGATTACTTTTGGGTCATTTTTATCACGGATGTGCAGAAAAAGGAAGAGAAGCCAAAATTCAGAGCTGGTAATTTCATACTCTTTGCCAATAATGATTATCAGGAAGAAAAATCGGAGCTACTGAATAAAATCAAGTTAGTTTATATTGGATTTTATGATTCATGACGGGAAATAAGGGAGAGCCAGCCGTGATTGATCATATAAAATCACACTTCTCCATTGTCCACGTGCCTCTCTTTAATATTTCTCATGGAAAAATTTTACTTGAAGGCAAAAATAGAATACAAATTATGGTATTTGGATATGGAAAACCACCATTTTCCTCATTTAAAGATATGTCTGTATGTGAGAGAGAAGGAGAGAGGGCACAAGCAGGACGAAGGGCAGAGGGAGAAGGAGAAGCAGCCTCCCCGCTGAGCAGGGAGCCTGACGCAGGGCTCATCCCAAGACCCTGAGATCATGGCCCGAGCCGAAGTCAGATGTGTAACTGGCTGAGCCACCCAGGCGCCCCTGCCTCATTTTAGACATCATGTGCTCCGTGCACTACTGCACCTAAATCTGGCCTCTATAAATTGTTCACTTTAGGAAATGCTTTCTGACTCCTCTGACATTTATAGTTTCACCTGAGTGGCAAGCGACCAGAAACAACTCCATGACATCATAATGGTTGGCGCCACACACGTCGCTTGGACAGTGCAGGAAGGTTTGTTTGGACAGTGTTGGCAGCTGCACTGTTTGCTTTTTGGAGCTGCCCCAAACCCATATGTCCCTGAACCAGGGGAATTCTGAGACGGTTTTGGTTTCAGAAATTCAGAGTTTATATCGCCATTGTTGCTTCTCCACAAAAGACTGGGCGTGAGGAAGTCGAGGGCTGGCCCTGATCTGCTACTCCCGGGCTGGAAGGGTCTTGCCTTCAGCAGGGCTCTGTGTCTCCGCTGTGAGACGGGGCTGGACAGGAGGTCCTCACGGAACGACGCTAGCTAGGGCTTGCTCAGATCTGCGACAATGGCCCAATCAACGCCAAAAGAAAAAGGCAGGAGGACAACGTAAGGAGGAAGAGTCGCTTAGCCCAGTGGCACACACGCGGTCACGTCCCAGTTGCTGTGCCATCTGCACCTTCTTCCCCGCCTCCGTTTCCATCGTTGTTCATCTTTCCAGCTGCTTCTGGTCTCCACCTCTTCTTCCTCCCTGTGCTTCCCTTCCTTTCTTTATCTTGTCTTTCCATCTCTCTCCCCTTTTGCAACGTCTTCCTCTCATTCTCTTCCCTTTTCTGTTCTTCCTTTACTTGCACATTATTATTTTCTCTAAGCGGTGCTTTCCCGTCACCGTCTCCTCCGACTGTAGCATCTTTCATTCACTCAGTGGCTAACGGCCGAGCAGCTGCTATGCGTCCGATACTTTACAGTCATCAGGCAACTGGAACGAACGAGAAAAAGCCAACACTCCTGGGTCCGTGCGATTTACACGCAGTGTCAGGAAATGAGAAATAAATGAGTAAAATCAGAGCGATCGCGGCAGGAGTGACAAGTGCTGAGAAGGAAGGAGATGACATGAGAGACACTCGCCATGGAGCGTCGCACGGCCTTACGGTGTGGCCCGCCAGTGACAGCCGAGTAGGACTGGAGGAAGGAGCGAGCGGTGGGCGCCGTTGGGCACAGCCCGCAGGAGGCCGCAGAGCAGACGAGCGGGAGGCAGCGTGAGGGGCCTGGGGCTTCAGGGCAGGGGCCCATCCCGAGAGGTGGCACGAGGAGCCCGCAGAACCACGGTGGCGCGACGCGAAGCCGGAGCACCAGGGGGAAGAATTTGAATTTCGCCATCCGAGCATCTGGAAGGACACGCAGAATTCCACATCAGAGTCACACCGTGAGCTCCTTCGTGGGCCGCGGAGAGTCACTTCCAATTGGGGTGGCAGGTGGAGCGTGGGACGAGCTCTGCTCCCCACTATTCCAGAAATGAGGCGCGTTTCACCTGGCGCGGCCCGGGGCAGCTGTCCCGCGTGGATTTTCTAGCCACGCAGGTTGAAGCAGGACCAGCGTTCCCCCACTTTGTCCTCCGAGGCCTGAGCAGAAGGTCGGCCAGAAGCAGAACGGGCACTGGCGCCACAGCCCACGAGCACGCAGCAGGGCCTCGGGGTTCAGCCCGCGGAACAGACTGTGGGGCGTCCCTGACGCTGGTTTTGAAAGAATGCTCTTCAGTTTGGCTTGTGTTGTAGGTAGTTTTTCTTACCTCATGGTTGTTTTTTTTGTTTTGATTTGTTTTGTTTTGTTTTGTTTTTTGAGAAGTTACTTGAGTAGATGGAAGAAAGAAAAAGAAAGGCGGGGGGGGGGGCAGGGTGGAGGCTGCAAATGGCTAGTGCGTGTGTGACCGTGTGAGCTGCACCTTGATGGATGCGGGCCTCCTGCAGGGCCTGCAGCGCCTGCTAGTCCAGGGAACTGAAGCAACTGCATGAAAATGAGGAAAGGCTTCGGTTTGCTCCTGAATGCACCTCTTGAAAAATCTGGAAGCATTTTCGCATAATTGGTTGATAGGTAGAAGCCATCCAACAAATATTTTGTGAGCTCCTGCTGTGTGCCAAACATGAGGTTTTTTATTTTTTATTTATTTTTATTTTTATTTTTTATGAGTTTTTTTTAGAACCAGGTTTCAGTCTTTAGTCAATGTTTTATTGTCAATGCAGAAAACATTTTATGTTCCCTGTTCTTAGTGTTCATTAAAATTTCAAATCTTGCATAGGTTTTTTTTTTTGTGTGTTTCCATCTGGGATTTATATATATTATATATATATATATATATATATATATATATATATTTTTTTTATTAAAAGTGAGAAACTTGAAAGCTTTCTGTTAATCAAATCCAAATTAGACCAAGGTGTCCTTCAGTCCAAGTCCCTGCCGCTGGGTGCATCTGCTTAGTATATACTTACTAGTTGTTTTCTCTTCCCCGAAATCCCAATTGACTTAAAATCATACAACTGTTCATTGGTACATCCTTTGGGTGGAATATGCAGCAACGAAGTAACCAGTGTCTCAATACGCAACACAATTCCTGAGTGGTTATAATTTATAGAATTACAATCCCTGCCCCCTGCTCCCCACCCCAGCTGAAGTTACCAAGGGAAAAGGACATGCTTGTTTTGGTTTTCCTAGCATTTATTCATTGACATGTTAAGGAAACTTCAAGTTAGCTTTGTAGAAACTTTTATATTTCGCTGTATGAATATTACAAAAGTACCATCAACTAGCTTTTTTTTGTTTGTTTTTTGGTTTATGGCTTAAGAGTGAACATTCATATATTTACTTCTAAGGATGCACATGAATGCGTTTGAACGTAGCACACGTATCTTCCTGCCCATGGCTAATTCCCAACGCTGATTTACATCTTTTTTTTTTTTTTTTGCTAATTTACATCTTTAGCGGACAAGAACAACCACCTGGGTGGCTTTGCCTCTTCTGCATGTATTTTCAGGTCTGTTTAACGAAGGGAGGTTGTAGACCTTTGTTAAAAGTACCAGTCGTACGAGGGTTTGGGAAGCCTAGTGGGGTTTCGGTTTGACAGTGGCCCGTGGTCAAGGCATAGATTTCACTTTAACAGTCGAGCTTCGAGGACACAAGCATCAAGCATCCCAGTTTTAGATGGAATCCTTCATTTTCCAGCTGTTACAACGCATTCGTCTTTTCATGGTGCACTTTGCAAGTCGGATATCATCCCGTCCTTCCACACTTGGTTTCCTAAATGACTTTCCTCCAGTACCTGAAACCGCTAAGCACGGGCGTTAGAAAAAATAACGTATTCTACTGATTTCATCCTATTTGCTGGCTTCAGGTACATCTTAGAGGTGTTTAAGGGAAGCAACTGCCGTTCTGACCAGATTTTTCTTTTTCTTTTTCTTAATCAGGAGCCTCGATTACAGTAGGAAACTGAAAAATGTAAGTGTTTTCAGTTCACTTTCAAAACGTTTTTCCTTCTAACTTTGATGATGGCTTGGGTGTAAAATGTGCTTCTAGGTTGGGTGACTCTCATACGCCTGCTAGACGGCGTCCTTAGCAAACAAGTTTAGGTGTCCCTGACGCAGTAGCCAATCGCTGCGACAGAAACACAAATTATCGATGGGGGGGAGTCTGTGTAATCACTAAGGGCTCGCCCTAGAAGTCAATGAACGAAAGCTTGCACCGTTTGTAATTCCATTTCTTAAGCACAGGATGACCTGTCTCAGCCCCACTATCTGTTCCTTTCTGCCAGTAGGCACAGATGGGAGATGATGAAATGAGGCAGTTGGGCACATATTTTTAGGGAAGAGATCCACGTGATATAAATCATGCTGCCTGTCATGGGCCTGCCCTTTTTCTATGTTTCTTATTAATCTTTTGCATTTTTATTGGTATTCCCCCAAATCAACTTTTTGGAGCTGGATCTCGTCTTCAAAGAGCAAGTATATGAGCGCTCTTTTAAGTTTCAATTGAGAAATGTAAAATATAACCTTCTGTATATAAAATCCAAAACCGGCTGCAACCAAGACCTCCTTTTTTTAATTTCCAGGATGCTATTACGTTCACTCGGCATTTTCATTCCCGTCTTCCTTTTTTGCCCTCTATAAAACTAGGGATAGATGCCATTTTTCATCATGCATTTTTTAAACAAATCAGAAAACCCGTAATCTAAAACACAACACAGTCCTATCTTTCTCCTATTACACCTTCCAAAATAGCCTCGTACCCTTAGCCCACGTTACTTATTTTACAATCCTAGTTAACATCCTGACTTGGAACTGTCTGCTCTCTGGGAATTTATTTGTAAGCAATCAGTGTTAAAAAAAAAAAAGACTTCTGGAAGTTTCGAAGGGGTCCTGAAGTGCAGATTTCCCACAGAGGCAGAAAACCGAATCCCATCGTAGCGTTGATACGCATTAACCGTATTTTGGACCTGTTGCCATCTGGAGATGTATTCACAGATCTTGCCTGGCCTAGCAAGGGGAGGGAGGTGGAGGAAGTACTTCCCCGCCCGATAGAAGCAATAAGACCAAATGTGAAAATAAATTAATAGCTTTTCCGAGAGCTTCAGATCCAAATAATTCCGTTTTAAGGCACTCATCTTCGGCCTTCTGGGCTTTATGGAAAAACCAAGGTCAAGAACCTTTGCTTTTGTGGACAGTTTCTATGGAAAGACAGAAAGGGTGAGCTTAGGGCCGTAGCTTCAGGCTGCCAAATATGCACGGGCACGTATGAGCATCCAAGGTCATTCAATTGGCAGTGATTTTTGTCTAGGCTAAAAATGTCCCATCTCGGATGGATTAATGGGACTCTAACTCTACCCCCACACCAGGCACCCAAAGAACATACGCTTCATCACATTGCGTTCTTGTGATTAGTTAGATATGTGGTGTTGCTCATGTGCTGGGAAACACCAATTAACCGGTATCTCTGCTGAGAGTTGGCTGCGGGCCTTAGCAGAGCATTGTGCCCACAGGTAGGACTCGCCAGGCTGTAAAAGCACCTGTCCCTCGAAAGGAATTGACCTGTGTCATGCTCACCGGGGTAAAGACCCCAGAGTCTCCGACCACTTGACGACTTTCACTTTCTGATTTTGAGACCTTTAAGACATAAAAATGATTTGGGGCATTTACTTTTCCTTCTGGCTGCCTCAGAGACCATTCTCCCCCAACCAACCGTTCCCTAAGGCTGGAGCTCTGTTTTAACTATTTTAACTACCGAATCATGTTTGTGTTGACTGATAGAGTATTGGGTTCCTATTAACATGATTTTCCATTTAATGGATCCCTCATGGGCAGTGGGCGCTGTAAATCAGCGTTGCACATTCCCTCCTTCCTGCTTTCCCGTTGGCGGGCATCATTGGTTCCTTGGTTTGAAAGTGATTCTTGAGGGAAAACTCCCCCGCTCTTGTGCCCGGTTTTGTTTTGCAGGTATTAGTTACCATTTACTGGCTGGGAAAAGCAGCAAATAGCTCCGCGTCCTACAGCGGAACGACGCTGAACCTGAAGGAGTTCGAAGGCTTGCTGGCTCAGATGAGAAAGGTAACTGGACTTTTCTTCTTTATCCCAAGAGGCTGGCACACGATGGCAAGCGGCACACGGGTTAAGGTCCCTGCGGTTCAGCGCGGTGAGCTTGCCCTGCCCCCAGGAAGACGTGGGCTCCCCCCAGCGAGGCCTGCGCCCCGTGTGCCCCGTACACCCTGTGCACCCCGTGCCTGCCTGAGCCTGCAGAGCCTTCAGGGAACGGCAAGTCTCAGTTGTCCCCAGCTTGCACCCCCGAAGAGCACATCCAGCCCAACGGCACGTGGCCTGTGTGCCGGAGAGCGCAGCCCCTGCTCCCGTGCGGGGGAGTGGCCTGAACTGAACAATACGGTATTGTCCAGAGACGAAGGCTTGCTCTGCCTTTGTCCTAAAGGTCACTTTGCTTCCCCGTCAGGGCCTTGGTGTGGGCGAGGTCATGTCTGCCACGTTCCTGCCTGGCCCACCCTGGCCAAGCCCCACCAAACCAGGGGCAGCTTCCCCCAACGTGTGTGTTTTACGGCCCTTGTACTTGGGTGACCAGGAAATGTGGGAAACCTTTTTTTTTTCTTTTTTGATAAAATAAACGTTTATTTGATGATGGGGAGGCTGAGCTAAGGTAGGAGCGTGTCAGGGAAGCCGTGGTCCGAGGCCCGAGGCTGTGGTTCCGCCTGGGGACCCCGCCGCCAGCACAGGAGTGGAGGGGGCGCACAGTCGCGATCACATCGGCGGGTTTGGATGAGGTCCCTGCGATTGCACGGAGGTAAGGCCGTGCCCTCCTACACCCGTCTAGTGCGCACACAAAAGGCACTAATGAGACCCCCCTTGAGGGACCATCCACACTTTCCAAACTTTCTTTTCATACTGAAGCACAAGAACGTGCTCCAGCTTTCTAACGATTTATCCTCCTTTCCTTAAATTGAAGATAATAGTCCTGACAATTCTTCCCATTTGACCCGAGCCGGTCTGGCTCATGTATTTTATAAACGGACAAAGCTTCCATATTGGTCGTTACACATATAGACAAAGACCTTTCAGCTAAATGCCTTTAAAAATAAACTGAACAAAATAAAATAAATAAAGTAAAGTAAAGTAAAGTAAAATAAAATAAAATAAATAAAATAAAATAACTGAACACACCCAATGATGCCTTGTTTCTTACTTTTTACTCTTGTGCGTCCTTTACCATTTCCTGCAAGTCTGTGTTAGAGAAAGGACACAGGTAAGGTCCCGTCTGCTTTGTGAAATTCGAATGCGTGTTTTTTTTAATATTCAATTCAGATTTGAATAATGACACACGGGCCATCTCTCTTTTTTCTAAAGATTTTATTTATTTATTTGAGAGAGAGAGCGCAAGTGAAGGGAAAAGCAGACTCTGCGCCGAGCGGGAAGCCTGACGTGGGGCTCGATCATGACCTGAGCCGAAAGCAAGAGTCGGAGGCTCAACCGACTGAGCCGCCCGTGGGTCATCTGGGTACGACTGTGTAAAAGCCCCTGCCTCACAGTCCCTTTCTTTGCTTGGAATCTGATTTGTTCTTGTGTCTCCACGAACCCAGCTTGTCTACACTCTGCGCAGCTATGGTTTCTTCAACTCCTTTCTGTTGACCCTTGTTACACCAGCTGCCTCGAGACGACCTTTCGTGGCCAACGGCCGTTCCCCTTTCTTAGTGAACGTAGCACAACATCACAGGCCACGAGGGAGGCCTCAGTGTCACTGGACATAGCAGGGCTTTGCTAGCACGGCCCCCACAGAGCCCCCGAACACAGCAGAGCGTAGTCGACCCGAGCTTCACGGAGAGATACCAACACCTGCAGAAGCTAGCTTACCTGGAGTAGATCCTATTGCATTTTATTGCTTAAAATTGGGTTTTGTGGGAAATGCAGAAAAGCCTGAATGTGGTTTAAATATGATAGAATCGGGAGCCCGGGTGGCTCAGCCGTTGAGCACCGCCTTCGGCCCCGGGTGTGACCCTGGGGTCCCGGGATCGAGTCCCTGCAAGGAGCCTGCTTCTCCCTCTGCCTGTGTCTCTCCCTCTCTCAATCTGGTCTCTTATGAATAATTAAATAAAATATTTAAAAATAAATACGATAGAATCTTATTTTGAAGTCACAGAAAAGAGGTCTGAACATGAGCAGGGGGCAGGTGATCATCAGGGACCCAGGGCCCTCGGGTCCTTTGCTCCGACATCCTCGGTCCCCGGGCTCCCGCCTTCTGATCCGACCCGGCTGTCCCGGCGTAGCCCCCGCATCCTCACCCGAGTCGGGAGGGAAGGGGGCTGAGGGGGAGGAGGACCCGTGCCCGCCGCCCGACGGCATGTCTGCTAAGTCGTGCGCGCCTCCCCGGCTGGCTCCTGTAGACGTGAGCGTGCTCACACGTCCGTACCTACCTGCCGGGGGGACTGGGGAAAGGTAGACTGTGTTTCAGTCAAGAACCGGGTGTTTCCACTGGAGAAGGAACAGGGACCGGATACCGAGGCGACAGAGACCACAGCTTCTGCACAGACACGAGCTGACACACACCTGGAACCACGACGTCTTCTTTCATGAAGGACACTAGAGATTTTTTTATATTCGTTTTTCAAGTGGGAGAAATGTTCCCGAAAAGTACCTATAGGCATGGTAATGGGGGCAGAGCCCCGAGCGCAAGCGTCGGGCACCGACCGGTCGCCGCTGCCCTGTAGCAACGAAGCGTCTCCGAAAGCGTGGCCTTTCAGTGAGCCCGGATCTGTTGCCGGGGGTCTCCGAGCAGAGGGGACATGAGGGGGCAGAGGGGCGTCACCGTGACAGCGTTGGGGTTGAAGCAAGACCTCGGGACCTACGGTGGCCTCAGAATCGCACAGGCAGGGCCGGGTGTGAGCAGTCGGGTTCTTCCCCTTGTCCCTCACCACCTCCTGCCTGTCCTGACATGTCCCACATCAGCGATTGGGGCCAGCAGCGCCCTCAGGATCACCGGCCTCTGGCCCCTCCCCAGACAGCGGGGAGTCTTCCTGGGAGGCCCGGCTGCTCGAGCCTCAGGGCTGTATGGGGTCTGGCAAGGGTCCTATTCCCGAGCCAGGCTCTGTGGCCACCGCCCCTGGCCGACGCACTGGCGTTCTGGGGACATGGACAGGGCGGCCAGCCTCAACCTCGCTCCCCTTCACCTGCCTGGTCTGTGCGTGTTGCTCGCCGCCCCACCTTGTGTTCACGTGCGCGTCCTCTGTCTTCCTGCCGGAGCGCAAGCCAGTGGGAACAGGTATGTATGGACTCCCGGAGAGCCGCGTGTCGGGCTCCTGGAGGATGCCGGGAAGCATCCGAGGGGTGAACAGCCCCCCAGCCGGCGCGTCGTAGGTGCAGGTGGGTCATCGAGCTGGAGAAGCAGAACCTCAACCGCTCCAGAGTGCGGCTCGGCCACTTTATAAGTCACAGAGGAAGCGGACAACGCTGAGTGGGAACACGGAGGCATCTGGGCTTCCTCAGACGCCGCCAGCCGCCCGGCAGCCTTAGCAGCTCTTGTTTCCACTGACTGAGGAGGACGGGGCAAGGACGGACGAGTGAGAGCGTCCGGAAACACCGCAGAGGCCTCGGCCCCCACGCAGGCGGCGCGCCCGTTTGCTGGAGCAGCGGGTACGGCGGGCGGCTTGGCGTCTGGTCTCCGCCGCTGAAGTGCTCCCCGTAGAAGTGGAAATGCTCCTGGGGTCCTGGCTGGAAACACGGATGCCTCAACACGGGCCCCGGAAGGACAGTGCAGGCCGTCTGGCTTTGTGTTGGGCTTTCAGCTTTCGCTGTCCCCAGCAGCTTAACCGCGGACGACCTGATGGAAAATCCGGAAACTCACTCCCGCAGCTGGGGCCACGTCTTTATTTCTGGCTGAAGAACCAGCTTCTCGCTTCACCCTGAGGGTGCAAAGGACCAGGTTGGCCAAGGGTGACCACGCACGGGTGGCCCGTTTTTCACTTTTCCAACCGGCCATGCCTTTCAGTGTCCAGCTCTTGCTGGTATCACTGGCCCATTCAACAGGTGGGGAAGCTGAGGTCGGGGGAGCAGCTTGCCCCAGGCGCCCCACGACCAGGCGCGGAGCTGGGATTCAAGCCCCGAGTCTCGCGCCCCGCTCTCCGTGCCCCTAGACGGCCTCTGTTTTGCCGTATCCGTGTCTCGGGGCCGGGGCCCCAGCAGCCGTTAGCAGGGGGCATCACGCACAGAGGGAGGAGCGGCGCCCGTGGGGAAGGGGCCACGCTGCTCGTGACACATGACCCCGCCCGGGTGCGGCAGCCGGAGCTGGGGCCGGGCGTGGGGATCCCAGGTTTGCTGCTTCCCATGTAACCTCGCGGATCTCATGGCCTCTCTGGTCTCACTGTTCTCTTCGGTGGAAAGAGGACAACGCTGCCCGCGTCACCGAGGGGCCACGAGGGTCAAGCGCAGCTCAGAAAGCGCAAGGCTCTGGCCGTTTGGCCCGTCCTCAGGGACACATGGCCCCGGGTCAGCACCTACGTTTCCAGAGGAATCGAGTACAAGACGGGATCCGGGTCAGACGAGCGCTCTCGGCGCCGCTGCAGGCTCCCCCGGGGCAGCCGCTCGCCCGCTGTGAGCACCGCCCGGCCACTTGCCACCTGCGAGGCAGCGGCTTCGGCCGGCCACGGGGTGGAGGGCACGGCCGCTCACGCTCACACTCGCCCTCGCGCTCACACTCATGTTCACACTCACGCTCACCCTCATGCTCACTCTCAGGCTCACCCTCACCCTCATGCTCACACCCACCCTCACATTCATGCTCACCCTCACTTTCACACTCACCCTCACACTCACGCTCATGCTCACCCTCACGCTCACCCCCATGCTCACACCCACCCTCACATTCATGCTCACCCTCTTTTCCACTCACTCTCGTGCTCACACTCACGCTCACTCTCACACGCTCACTCTCATGCTCACCCTCATGCTCCCACTCACCCTCATGCTCACCCTTGTGCTCACGCTCACCCTCACGCTCACGCCCACCCTCACCCTCACACTCACGCTCATGCTCGCCTAGGCCACGTGACACCCTATCCTCCCCGGGCTGAGCCAGCTGTGTGGGTGGAGGCTGAAGCTATTCTCTCCATCCTGCCCTCCCTTCTCCCCCTCCCTTCTTTTCTGGGGGGAGGGGAAATTTTTTTTTTACATTATTTAATTTAAATTCAACTTGCCAGCACGCGGTGTAGCACCCAGTGCCCGTCTGCAGGCCAAGCCCTGGACGCCTGTGGGTGCAACCACTGTCCCGTCCAGAGGCTCCTGCCGCCGAGTGTGGCGGGGGTGCCGGGCTGCTGGCGGGGATGCCTCCCACCGAGGCATTGGCTCCAGGGCAGACCCGCCGGCGTAGACACTTTCCAGAACTGCGTGGGGCAGGTGCAGGCAGTAGCGCCCCGGGGCGGCCACGGGGTGAGCTCCGTCACTGCGGGTGAGGGCAGGCCCCTGCCAGCATCGGCGCCGTCCGGGTTTTAGGCACGGCTGGAGGGGATGAAACTGAGGTTTACCTTTGGCGACTGGAGTTGCTTTGGTCGCCGTCAGCCTGGACTGATGTAACCAAGGCGAAGACAGCAGCGGGGACAAGGCTTTCATTATGGTGCAAGACCGCAGCTGGCTCTGGTGACCTTTGTCCCTGGGGCCTGGCGTCGGGTGTGCCATGGGCACTGGCCGGCCTCTGTCTGCGGGGCACAAATTGTTGGCGGCCCGACTCGCGGCCGCCCCGGCCCCCAGCGCCCCGCCGGCCGCCTGGATTCTTCGGAGGCACCACGAAAAGAAAAGCAGTTTGCATATTTTTCATTGCTGCTTTTTTTTTTCCTTCCTAACTTTCCGCCTCGGAAAGACAGGTCCCTCAGAGCCGGCAGCTTCCCCGGGGCGGCAGGATGGACGCGCGCTGCTCGGGGACACATGCAAGTGCTGCGCGGGGCACGGGGCAGAGTGGGGGGGCTGATGGGTGCCCCAGGGCCCGGCAAGGTCACGGCATGCGGTTCCCTGGCGGCTCTGCTCTGTCGCTGTCCTGCTGTGAATCCAAACATCATGATTTTTTTATTCTTCTTTCCTTCAACCTTTAAAGACAAACCGTGGTGGCACGTACGTCACTCGGGTCTTTCTGTTTGTTGTTTGAGTTGTGCGCGGTTTCCCGATCGGGAAGGTGTGGCCAGGGTCCGGGAACGAGATGCCGGCCTGGCGGCGGCTCTCCATGACTTTCCACCTGACGCCACGCGCGGGGCCCTCGTTGCGGCGCCCAAGCCGGGTTCCCTCTCCGTCCGTGGCCGGGGGGCCTGAAGTCCTTCCGTTTTGTTTTTGGACAGGAGACCGATGACATCGAGAGCCCTAAGCGCAGTATCCGGGACAGCGGCTACATAGACTGCTGGGACTCCGAGCGCAGCGACTCACTGTCCCCGCCTCGCCACGGCCGAGATGATTCCTTCGACAGCCTGGACTCCTTCGGGTCCCGATCGCGGCAGACGCCCTCGCCGGATGTCGTCCTCCGGGGAAGCAGCGACGGTAGGTGACGGCTGTGGGCCCCTGTGCCCTCGCGGTCGCGCGTGCACAGGGGAGGCCGTGGCACCGCGGGCACCTTGCTGGGACCAGTAACTCCGAACTGGGAGGAGAACGGTGCTTGAATGTTGTTTTCCCGGGCGCCCCCAGTTGGGGTCGGCTCCGCCCGCGGCCATTCGCACGAGGCCTCCATGAGCAAGGGGAAAGCGGGTCGCCTCCCTCCCCGCCGGTTCAGGGACCCAGGCACTGTGCAGCTGTGAGCTCGGACCGTGTGCCCAAGCTTTTATGCTCCGGGTGCAAGGAAGGGAAGCGTGTTGGCACCACAGCGTAGACGTGAAGACGAACCCACTCACGGACTGGAGCCGCGCCGCAAGCTCAGGGACGGGCTGAAACCCGGGAGGCTTTAACGGGGGCTTTGGGCAACCTGCTCGGAGCTCCCGGCGCCTGCGCGCTGGCTGCGGCCCTCACGGTACACGGCCCAGCCTGCTGGGCTGCTCCGAGTCCGGCTTCGAGTTAAACCCCGTGGATTTCATATCACCTGCAAGGAATGGTCGCTTCTCTAGGAATCTGGGGTCGTGCAACCTGATGTGAATCTGACGCGTCACCTTCCGGAAGCTGTTGCCGTCACTTACCGCGCACCTCCGCACCTCTGTACTTTCGGGGCGGAGGGTGGCTCGCTCCTGTCCCCATGAACCTGCAGAAGGGGGATGAGGCTGGCGCGGTGTTTTTTTTTTTTTTTTAATGTTTCTACTTTTTCTATGCATTGCTTGATGCTGACATTTCTAGAGACTTAAGGGCTCCTCTCGGGGATGAGAATTGCCCCTTAGGGCTGAAAGATCCCTTTCCGCCATAAAAGCCTAAGATACTTGGAGGTTTCTCGCGCCCGGGTCCTCAATGGGTGACCTGACACCTGGCGTGGGGGGCAGCACAGGTTGCGAGCCACGTGGCTTCTTGCTCAGCCCTCCCGGGGCCGCGGGACGTTATGCATCTGCGTTTTACGGATGAACCCGACAAAGGGTCAGGAACTGTGACCCCGAAACTTAGACCCTTAAACGGACGGTGCCCACACTTCTATTTACCCAATAGATCTTTGGGATTCTAGAACAACTGGGCTGATGCTTTCGTTTTTCAGCTTTGCAACAAATGGAGCAGCCTCGGGGCCGGGTAGTATGTGACCCCGAAAGAATTCCATGGCGCATTGTGAGCGGCCTGGAAAACATCCCTAAAATGTGGAGTGCGTGTGCAGTGCCGCCCACGGACTAGAAGCTGCAGCGCCAGCCCGTGACCGGCCACCCGGCCCACCCGATTACTGAGCACGTCTGCACCGAACTAGGTCGTGTTACCGACTGTTTTTTTTTTTTAGAGACCTACCATTTTCTTCACCTTGGAGCTTCACAAGTGGTGATGGATCCTTCATTCTGTCAACCTCGGGGGGGGGGGGTTCAGAGTTTGTGACAGCCCCATCCTGAAGGTATCCAAGGTGGTGATCGCTGATATCTCGCTAACGTGCGCTGAGGCACAATGTAGTTTGTGACAGGATGGATGCGCTCAAGTCCTTTGATTTATTTTCTTTTTAAGGATTTTATCCATTTATTCATGGGAGACACAGAGAGAGAGGCAGAGACACAGGCAGAGGGAGAGGCAGCCTCCATCCAGGACCCCGATGCAGGACTCGATCCCGGGACCTCGGGGTCATGCCCTGAGCCGAGGGCACACGCTAAACCGCCGAGCCACCCAGGGATCCCCTGCTCAAGTCCTTTAATAAATATTTTTTCTGCATAAAGAATAATATGAAACTGAGCCTCACAAAACACCATTTGGGAAAGAGGACCCTACACACCGATCTCGCCAAGCAGCCTCATATCTGCAGGCTTATGTTCTTGCAAACTGATTGAGACCTAATGAGGTTTAAAAACACACGTAAAAAAAAAAGCACTTTTTAAAAAAATCTGCCTTTAAAAATAGCATGATTTTATTCAAATACATGTTGTAGTTTATCAGTGTTTACAGTATTTTTTTAACGATGTCGATCAAGAAGACTGCTAATCCTAAAACCCACTTTTAAATCTAGAAGAACATTTTTTTTTTAAGTCTTGAAAATTCATTTCCTAAGGACTCACAATCAGGGAAAATCCTAGCATAAAGTTCTCTGGTTCCATGTTGGGTCCGTATTTCCATACCCTTGAGGCCCGCTGACCTATTCAGGGAGGACGGTCAAGAGCCACGCTCGTGAGGGTCGTGCAGGAGGCCTGCTGGCCCCTGGCGCCCATGAAGCCAGCTGGTCCTGCTGCCTCGGTGCCAGTTCCTCCTCCCGAGGCCGCTCAATGGACCTCACGGAAGAGGAAATACAAAGCCTTCCACTTGATTGCTTTTAAAGTTAAGAATAAAAAATAAACAAATAAATAAATAAATAAATAAAGTTAAGAACATAGTTCATAAATATGATGTGTTTTGTTAAATGAACATTGTTTTATAAAAGGGTGAGTTGAGGAAGAGAAATAAGGAACGAGAGAAATTTAAGTGTAAAAGGAAGATGAGAAAGCCGGGGATGCCTGGGTGCCTCCGCCATTGAGCGCCGGCCTTCGGCTCAGGGCGTGACCCCAGGGTCCCAGGATTGAGTCCTGCATCGGGCTTCTTACATGGAGCCTGCTTCTCCCTCTGCCTGTGTCTCTGCCTCTCTCTGTGTCTCATGAATGAATAAATAAAATCTTTTAAAAAAAGAAAGCCAAGGGTTGGGGTGCATATGGTCAAAATACAGGGAAAAAGAAAGCCCCCTAGTTAGCAGAAGGGAGAGAAACGTAGCCCCCTGGAGAGGCAGGCTCGGACTCGGACAAAGCGGCATCGCCCCCATCGTGTGCTGCGCTGTCGTTGCCTGACGTCGGTATCAAGATCGAGGCCACCCCAGTGTGTGTTCGGGGTGAAGTCAAGCTCTTTTGAAGTCCTGGCCTTTGATGAGGATCCCGCCCCGACTCATGGAGGGGAGGCCGCAGCAGCCACTCTCTGGGTGCTCGTGCCGTCTCCTGGGCCCCCGCCACCTGTTACCGTCTGCAGGCTTCCGGGAGACCCCTGAGGTCTGTGTGCAGCAACGCAGGGGACAGACTGGAATTACGGCCGGGCCTCTGAGTCTGGAAAGCTGCCCCGTGTTCAGCTGGGTCCCTCCCTGGGCCTCGGAGCATCGGCACGTGAGCTCCTCTTCAGCCGTCTGACAAAGACTTTTACCAAAAAGCGTGGGAGAGAAAAGGTGATCGCGCACGTGCTGATCTACTGCCCTGAGACTGGCACTAAGGTGTTGTCAGGACAGGATGTCCTCAGCTACTGCACCCAAGGAAGCCTCACGAATTATAGGATTTCAGCAGTTTGAGACGCCGCCAATTCCTGGGCTGGCCTAGCTGATCCCAGAATCGTTTCCCTTCGTTTGTTCGGGAAAGGGTAGCGCTTCTCTAGTCGGGGTGCCGCACGCACACGTGGAGGACCCTTCTCCGCGAGGAGTGAACCCAGGTGAAGGAGGAGCTTCGGTCCAGGGTCTGGAGAAGAGAAAGCGGGGGCCCAGCTGCTGCGTCCCGGCCCCGGCCGCGGAGGGGGCTCTATGGGTGTCTCCGAGCCTCCACGTCCGCCCGAGTCTGCGAAAGGGGGATGGTATCAGATCAGGATTCAGATCCGAGCGCCTGGCAAGGTCAGAAAACGTCAGGGTCTGTTTGTTCATGAGGCCTCTCACGGGGGGGAGGCGGGGCGGGGGGACTGTGACCACGTCCCTCGGGGACACACTGACGATACACACTGACGATAGCCTCGGGGTGGGAGAGTGCGGAGCGACGCGTCAAAAGCCAGCGAGGACTGACACAGACGACTTGGGAAGGGAGGTGAAGCCACGAGGGATTCGCACCCACGTGCTCCGTCAGCGACAAGGAATGACTCGTTTACGGCCCGTGCTTCTGACTTTTAAGGCCTTTCAGAAGCCGTTGAGTCATTTAATCTGCAGGCGCATCATTTCGTTCCTGTTGTTACCGCCAAGGACCGGCAGGTGCGTTGGAGCCGGCCTGGGAGCCCACAGTGAATGCCAGGACCACCCAGGACGGCGACAGAGAGCGGCCCGCGCTCGCCGAGCGCTCACCGTGCCGGCCGCTCACATGGACCCGGTCCTCCCAGAAGCCCCGCCAACCAGGTGGCATCCTTACCCTCCCTTTGCAGATTGGGGAAACTGAGGCATGACCTAACGACTGCAAAGCTAGTGAGTGGCCAAGCTCAAAGCAAGGTGGATCAGTCCTAAGGCCCTGTCCGCTGTCCTCTCTGCCTTGGCCGCCCCTTCTCTTGACTCTGTCGCGGGCGCTCCTCCCAAGTGTACAGGAGTCCCCTCTTCCTGATGCTCGCCGTGCTGAAGGGTTTCCGCCTGAGCCCCCCTCACTGGGCATCACTGAATTCCTTTGCGTCGCCCACAGCGCTGTCTAAGCCAGAACCGATTTGTGTGCCCGTCAGATGATCTGAGGCTGCCCGCCGGGTGCAGAGACGCCAGCTGAACCCTGCAAACCCCTGTCCTCCAAGCGTGAGGTCAGCGGGGTCACGCATCTGCAGGGCAGGGTGGATGGGGCCCCAGGGTCCGCAGGAGGAAAGGGGGGCTACAGCGAAGGCCGCAGGCAGGGCTCCGGCTCGGGGGTACGCGTGCATCACACCTCGCAGCACCTCCTGGGAGGCAGCCCTGGGCCTCGCGGGACTCGGCCGCCCGTGTGAGCCCCGCTCTTGTCCTCCGTGTTTCCCCCTTGCGATGGCCGACGCCCCCCGGGCTTCCGTAATGTGGCTCTGCTTGTCCCACAGACATGAGGCCCTGTGGCCTCCTGCACAGCCGGCCTCACCTCTGTGCCCCTACTTTGACTTTCTCCCCCTGATCTGAGTTCGGAGCTTGCCCCAGCGTAGGTCTGCTGGACGGATGCTTGGCACTCGGCCAGTGGACGGTCCAGGGTGGGGGATCCCCAGAGCCCCGGGGAGACCCGGGCCGGCCCGGCACACCAGTTCAGTGCCCGTGTCTCCTCTCCAGGGAGGGGAAGCGACTCTGAGTCCGACCTGCCGCACCGCAAGCTGCCGGACGTGAAGAAGGATGACATGTCTGCGAGGCGGACGTCCCACGGCGAGCCCAAGTCGGCGGTGCCGTTCAACCAGTACCTCCCCAACAAAAGCAACCAGACGGCCTACGTGCCGGCGCCTCTGAGGAGGAGGAAGGCTGAGCGGGAGGAGTACCGGAAGAGCTGGAGCACCGCCACCTCGCCCCTGGGCGGGGACCGGCCCTGCAGGTGAGGTCCGGGGGGGCCCTGGCGGAGGGTGCGGTGCGGGGGAATGGGCATCCCGTCTGCGGGTCCCTGCCGAGCCCGTGGATGGTGGAGACCGGGTCTGCTGCCAGGTCGCTGGGGGCACAGAGGCCGCCCGGTTCCTTTGCGGAGGCCACCTGCCTCCCCCTCCCATCAGTTGGGTGCACAGAGCCTTGCCTTGGTGCAAGAAGAGTTTTCCTGGGCCTAGAGACGTGCTCACCTGGGTGCGAGCTCGGGGGTGCGAGGGTGTGCAGGATGTGTCCCCGACCCCTGCGTGGGGCGCACCGAGGCCAGGGGGCGCACTGGGACGTCGGCGGGCATCTCCCTGGCACCCGGTTAGGTCCTCGTAGTGCGCATCCACTTACTCAGCAGGTATTTACAGGTCCCTTCAGGCCCCAGGGACCCAGTGGGAAATAAGACGAGCCCCCGCCTTCAAGGGACTCCAGGGCCAGTCCGGTCCTTTGAGCAGAACCATCCTGACCCTTGCACCCTTATTTCCTTTACTGTCCGTGACTTTCATCGAACAAACACACTATTAAAAGTCTTGATTGTTGAGCAAGACGTGACTTCCACCTTCCCAGCAGAAAAGGCCCTTCGCTTCTCACTAGCCCCCGTGAAATAGCTCTTGGCGTTGGGATGACGCTGCCCCGTAGCTAACGGCCACGTTCACCTTTCTTCATGTTGCCAGGACCGTATTGCACGTCATGACTTTTTTTTTTTAAGTGAAAAGTAAGATGAGAGTGGCCACGAGGTGACACGTGGCTGCCCCCCGCCCCCCGGGCTGTTAGTTTGGTAAACCGTGTTGTCCACTCACATAGCTATCCTGAAACGATAGAGGAAGAGGGAAGTGAAGTGGGGTCTCCTTGTGACGAGGACCCCGCTGGCCAAGCGCAGCCCGGTGGGAAGCCTTGTGGCGGGGGCTCAGGACAGCCTGCCGGCCGTGGGATGGAGCAGCCTCCTCCAGGGGGGCCCACGGCGGCACCAGCTCCCCGGTCCGAAGACAGAGATGCCGTCGAAGTCCAGAAGCGCCGACGGCTGGAGCAAGCTGGGATCAGAGTGAGGCCGGCGGCGCGGCGCTTTGCCAGGTTAGGCCGAGGGCGGCCTGCGGCACGGGGGGGGCCGCCCTGCTTCCACTGCCCGCTTTGCCCTTTGCAGTGCTACGCCCTGCACCCCGCAGGGGCTGCGAGTCCTGGCCCTGGGCACGGCTCCGTCAAGAACCTGGTGGTTCTAAACGGAGGTGAACGGTGAGCTTCTTGCTGCTTCATTAGACTCGTCCTGGTCGGGGGGCCACGGATCCCCCACGCGAGAATGTTGTTTCCCAATAGCCCGCCACGTGTTGGTCGCCCCACTGCTCCTAAATGGCTCTTAACCCTGTCTGCACTCACCGGAGACGAGTTCCTTGGAAATGGGGGAATCCCTTTTTAGAAAGCATAGCTGGCCCCCACCGACCCAACCCCTCTTCGTCCCGCAGGAGTGGTAAGGAGGCGCCCGTCGGCCTGCCCTCCCAAGGCTCGCTGATTCCAAAACAAAAGAGGGCGCGATGCCTTCCTTGGTTGTACCGAAGGCACCAGCCTGACTTTGCGGGACGGGGCGAGGGGAGCCGTGGGCAGCCCCAGCTCCACAGTCGGGGGCAGCGCTTGGAGAAGCTGCTTCATTTCCCCCCTATAATAGTCGTGGAGATCCCAACAAACTGTCACGACACCAAACCTTGACACGTTAAAATCCCTAACACACAGTTTGACGGTTGAATTTCCATTTAACTGGAAGCGGTGGGTGACATACCCATTTTCAGGAAGGGTAAACTGAGGGCCGGTGACAGTCGGCAACTCGCCGGCCCGAGTGCTAGTGACTGCCCGCCTGGAGGCCAGATCGTAATGTTCCGACCACAGAACCGCATCTGTGGTTGAACAGAATGTTTGCCATTTTTCCGTACGACTCCAAATGTGGTTAGTGCTACACGGTCTGGTTCTTAAACTGGAAGTTCCAGCCCTGAACCTATATGGACTTAATCGTGAAGCACCTTTGTATTGATTTGAGAGGAGAAAATACCACCCCATGTGTGGTATCCCACTTAAGTGTGTCCTAAACACACACTTGCTTCTAGAAGACTCTACCGTAAAAGTGCGTTATAAGCAGCTCTCTGGATTTCTGAAATAAGAGTGATGTTGTAGAATCGTAAAAAAAAAAAAAATCAAATCCAGATATTCTATACATTTTGGTGGAAAGACCTCATTGGAGACGTATTTTTTCAACACCATTTTACATTACTTGCTGAGAATACAAAGATGAGTAATGTCCCCTAACCAGGTATCGGCTTTCAGGCCCAGGGGGAGTAGTAGGTAACACAGGTAAGACTGTGAAGTCACCAAGAATATCCTTGACACACATACCTTCATTTTTATGACATCTGGGAAGTCTTTAAGGCAAAATTTCCCGAAGACACCGTGATATTTTTCCCCCTGTTTTATTATCACTTTCAAAAATTACTACTCTGCTCGGCTAAAATCTTTAAAAAATGGATTCTTCTATAATTACCAGTCTGGTTGAGGGTAATTTGCATTGGCTGTTCGAGTTTCTTCTTCCATAATCCTTGGCCACTTTCTCCCCATTTAAAAAAAAATATTCATTTTATTAGAACACTGAGCATGAGATCTCCCTTCTGAACAAATCTTTATTTTTCTTTTTTCTGAACAAATCTTTGATACAGCGTCATTGACTGTAGGTAGTGTCGCATGTTGAGCTCTAGAATTCGTTCGTCCTTCCTGAGGGGCACTTTATGCCCATTGATCAGCAACTCCCCGTTTCGGTGGTGAAATAAGTATTTGACTAAAGTATTTGACTAAGTATTTGACTCCTAGATCTGACATTTCAGAGGAATCGTGCAGCATTTTTCCTTCTGTGACTGGCCTGTTTCAGCCTAATAGCCTCAAGGTTCATCTATAGTGTCACGTAGTGGAGAACTTTCTTCTATTTAAAAACTGAGCGATACTCCACTAAACATAAATATCACATTTTCTTCCATTCATCCATCAGTGGACACTTAGGTCGTTGCCACAATCTGGGCCACTGGGACTAGTACGGCAGTGAACACGGGAGCACTAGCATCTCTTACGGGTCCTGACTTCGATTCTTTGGGATGAATAACCAGAAGTGGGATTGCCAGGTCAGGTGGTAGCTCCATTTTTAGTTTTTCAAGGACTCCTTCTGTCGTCTTTAGAGTATCCAAAAGGGCAATAAGAGATGAGTGCAGAGCTTCACGAAGCTAAGTCAGCACACCCGGGAGCCATGGTGATGGAGAAAAAAGAAGAGATTGGACGAGGCTGGGAATTCCCTGGGTGACCTGTGTCAGTGACTGTGAGGTTTATTTCGTGTTGACGTATTGAAATCTTTTATGGTGGCTCCCATTCTGTGCACGAACCCAGAATCTTGGCTCATTTACATATGTAACTCTGACGGATGAATATTACTTATGTGGTCGTCCTTGGTGCCGTCCACGTTTCCCGTTACCTGACTCAGTTGTTCACATATTCCATCCAAGTTAGCGGCGTGAGGCCGAGATCCCCAGGTCTGTAAATATCATCACACCTGAGATCTTCCGACTCGGCATTTAAAACTGGGCTCAGGAAAACGATGCATATTCCCAGAGAATGTCCCCAACAGCGGTGTGACGCAGCTGCTCCAAAGGCCCGGAATTCTTCTATCGGCAGATTGTTCAGCCGCGAGCTCTCCCGTAAAGGTCGTACACATACCGCGTCCCTGGCCTGCCTGCGTCCCTGTCACTCACATTCCACAGCCTTCACTGGAATTGAGAGTCACGCTAAGTTTATCCACATTTGGAATCCTGCTTTTAATGTGGCAGAAAGTAGCTTAACGGGAATGAAACACATAAAGATGAAAAGGCGTCTTGGGATCTGGAAAATAAGGATAGGAAATATGTAACACATTGAACCTCCACTTCCCGTCCTTGCCATCTGGATGGCTTCTGGCTGCCACATCCCTGAACCCAGCAAGAGGCCCCACATCTGCTCCGTGGCCCATTTCGCAGCTGGGAAACTCTGTGTCTGTAGACATGGGTCATGACATAAAGTCCCGGGCAAGGGATGGAGGTGCACAAACACCAAGACTTTATTTCTGTACTATTGTCCTGCGTTTTCCCCCAGTATTCTCAGACACCACCTGTAGCCTTTCTAATGTGGCATGAAAAGGAGGAAGAGTGTGCTGTATTCTGTTTTCATAGGAGATTAGAAGCCCAGAAGCCCCGGGCTTCCTGCCTAACCATCTATTAGGAGGTATCTTAGCATCGAGGGAGAGAAAGTAGGACTTCGTAATGAAGGTGTGGAGTTTAGTGTGTTTCAGAGTCACCACCGAAATAAGAAGTATACTAACTACTTTCTCTTCTATTTTAGTTTGTGATTAAGTCAGCTTAATTACCCCCAAACATGAGACTGTGCCACAAAAGCCAAGATTTCTGTTCTTAAGAGGATAAAATAGGAACCAACATTCACTTCCCCCAAATTAAAATGCCAGGGAGATTTGAGCTCCCTTACCTGCTGTTTCCTATTGGAGAACTGACGTGTCTTTTGGAGTTTTTTTTTTGTTTTGTTTTGTTTTGTTTTTAAATCTGAATTATAGGTTTCACGTGATTGCACTTCTCTTCTAATTGTTTTCATATGTTCCAGCACTCAGTCTTTTCTGCTGGTCTGTGGATCTTCTCAACCACATAGTAATTAATTACAGAGGGCAAAAAAAAAAAAAAAAAAGAAAGAAATCTCTCCGAGGAACAATAGGCATTTTTGAGATCTTTAGAGGAAGAGTGGATGCAGCTAAGTGCCAGCCCCCTCTGCTCAGCAGAGCCTGTGGCGGTGGCCGTGGCTGAGCAGGTCCTGGGGGAGCGGGGCAGGCGCACAGGGTGCTTTGCAGGGGCCTCTGGGACGCTGGACGAGAGCCCGGGGTGGACCAGGGTAGCGTGGAGGTTTCTGGCGTTGCCCCCGACGTTCCCTGGGGGCCTCACGGGCCCTTCTGGAGAGCCCGGTCTCTTTCAATAGAACAAACCGGCTGCCAGTCTGAGCTGGTTGCTTGTGTGTCACCAAGGGCAAAGGGGGGAAAGCAAATGCCAGCTCCTTCTTAGTTCAATCACTCTCTCAGTCAGTCTGAAATCTCTAACTTGGAGGCAGGAGCGCTTTCTTCCCCTCACCCGCCTTGAGCCCACGGTCTATCCTGCAGAGGCAGCTTTCCCTGCTGCCGGTGAGACTGGACAGGGTTGCCAGGCTGGGGACAGGGCTAGGGTTCCTCGTGTCACGGGTGAAGCAGAGCCGCCCCTTCTTCCCAAAGTGACTCCTCTCCGAACGACTGTAAAAAAGAGAGTCCAGGCTCCCCCGTGAACATGGAGCCAGATGCCCCGAGCCTGCCCCCGCAAGTCACTTCATTGCCCTAAATTCAGATAACTGGAGCTCGAAGCCTCAGGGTTCTCCTCCAGAAAGTAGACGCGATAACTGCCCCCCGTCCCGCCCCGTCTCCCAGAGTTTTCATGAATCTGAGATGCACGGGCTGCTCGGGGTGCCGTGAGGATCAAAACCCGAGGAAGGACTGCTGAGGCTTTAGGCAGACCGGCCTTCTGCTCTTTCAAGGGAGAAAGAAAAGCCCAATACAAAGAGTCACTTAAAAGCTAGTCACGAGGCATCTACCGCTTATGCATCAGGGGTTCCCGCGTGGCCAGAGGTACCGCCCGGATTTTGTGTTTTTATTTTTCTCCTCTTTCTCTGAGTCTGCCTTCAAACCCTGAATTTACAGGATTCAAGCAAGTAGTAGCGGAAAATCAGTCATTATGCCCATTGTTTTTCAAGGGGGCAGGGAGCGGCTTTCGGCGGCCAACGACACAGGGAGCTTTCTTCACCGTCGTTTTGTGTTGTAAGTCCACACAGCTAAATTGAGGTCCCTTGAGGCCCGTCCTGCCACACTGGGCGTTTAGCCTAAAAAGAAACACCCCAGGGAGCTGGCAGGCTGGCCTGGGCTCCTGTGATAGAGGGAACACCAGATTCCCCTGCTCAAGTTGGCCGCGCGGGTTGGCGGGGGCATTTGCATAAACACACACGTTTTGCTCTAAAGATTTCTGCCTGACTTGGGGGGAGATCGGAACCAGTGATCCCCGGTCAAAGAATGAAAAGCGTGCTGCCTTTGAACCTTAAGAGGTTCCAGCTAGGGGCCCGCTCCCCCGCCCCCAAACGTAGAGTCCGATCAGCTGAGATGAGAAAATGAGCTTGAAAACGCTTTGTGAGCGTGCGGTGCCCCGCGAGCACTGTGAGGTGGGATCCCTTAGCTTCTGCTCCTTCATCCCAGCAGAACCCTGCAGTCCGTCATCAGCAACGCCAGTCATGGCTCTAATCCAAGCGCCACCCTCAGGGTCCCTTGAGTTAGTAACCAGAATCCTTCTCTTTCTCCTGCATCCGTAGCGGGGATAATGCCCTATTTTTACATCACGTCCTGCTCTCAGCGCTGCTCCCGGCCGGGTCTCGTGTTGCATGTGCAGTGCAGTGGCCACAACAGAGCCCCTGGAGCCAGGCTGCCTGGGTTTGGATTTTAACGTAAGTGCTGGCGCTTTGACCTTGGGCAGATTTCTTAAGCTAGAACCTACTTTCCCCTCTCTCGAAATGGCAACGCTGGTAACACAGACATCACAGGGTTAGGGGACTAACGCGTAGGCGGCCTTCTATCCCAGAGTGTGTGCTCAGTGGCTGTTGGCCGCTTCCTCTGTCATCAATGTTGTGCTTTTCAAGTAGTGCCTTTTTGAGGAGATTGAGTCAATGGCCCGTGATTTCCTTTGGCCATTCTTTGCGACCGTAGTCAACCCACGCCGGGCGGTACTTGCCAGGCACACTGGCCAAGGAGGCGGGGAGGAGCAGGAGCGCCGTCCAGGGGTGGCCAGGCAGGACACGGAGACTCAGGCGTACAGCTCCAGGGGCAGGGTCTCATATTTTAAGAAATTTATTCAGGAAGCAAAACACTGCCGACCACTTACAAACTCTGTGCTTTAAATTTTTATTGAGAACCATGTCAGTTGGGGCGCCCTGGTGGCTCAGTCGGCGAAGCGTCTGCCTTCGGCTCAGGTCATGATCGCGGGGTCCTGGGATCGAGCTCCACATCCGGCTCCCCGCTCAACGGGGCATCTGCTTCTCTCTCTGCCCCTCACCCCACTCGTGCTCTCTCTCTCTCTCACCTTTCTCTCTCTCTTAAATAAATCAGTAAAATATTTAATAGAAAAGGAAATGTCAGCAGTAAGGAGAAGGAATTTTCTGGGTCTGATGAGTGAAGATTTGATTTTCTGAAAGTCAGATGAAGCGAGGGCCTGCTGTAGCCATCAGATGCGTCCCCCTCAGGAGCCGTATGGAGCAAGAGTGCGCGGGCCACCTGGTTGACCAGGTACACGGTCTCATTGCTCATTTTCCTCCCAGCTCGGCTAATTCCTCCTTCTTCATTTCTGAGATGAGTTGTCCTTTGAGGATGAAGAATTTACTCTTCATTCTCTCTTAGAAAGTGGAAACAAAGTAGGTAGGCTTTATAAGTCCAGATCTTTCCTTCACTTATCTTTATGAAATGAAAAGATAAATGACTTTAAAGATCTTCACATTTTCTTATTGGTTAGAATAATAATTACTTAGAAGCAAGGCTGATCTTAGGAGTAGGGGGAGGGGAGTTTGTGTTCACACCAGATGGACACACTTGCCCCTATTCCGAACCCTCAGGCCTCCAACGAAGACAAAAACAAAACTCAGTGAAAACTCCTGATAATCCACCATTAAACTACGTTCAGGAATTTAAGGTTTGAGGTCTTCAGTTATCTCTTTGAAAATGGAAATGGCGCCAAGTGATCGGTTTTTAGCCATTTTTGGCAAGATGGTTCACCACAATTTAGTTGACATTTAGCATACAACGAAAAAGAGCGGAGGGGTGGCCAGTCGTGGGGGTGGAAGATTGAAGACAGAGCCGCTCTTAGGAGGGTGCAGGGCAAGGGAGGCATTTACGCTTCGGGTCCATCCTGTGAATGGTCCTAAATGCTTCCAAATGTTTCATGTTAGCTCAGCTCTGCTGAAAGACCCTCCTCACACTTTGCAATCTGGCCCGTGGTCAAGGCTGGCTGTCACATGGCTGCAAGCATTAGCTTCTCCCCACATCAGTTCCTTGGTGGCTCCAGTTGTTGCCCTGTCGCTCAAAACCACATTGAGTCCCCATTGGGTGCATTGCTAATGTGCTAACAAAAAAAACAAAAAAACAACAAAAATAAAGCTTTCAGTTCTTCCCAATTTCATGAGACGGCTTTGGATGGTCCCTCTCAGAGCCATTTAGGACCTTGCATTGCTGATGCTGATGGGGCTCTGTCTGTTAAATGGATTTAGAGCATTGCTAATGGCTGGCTAAACTCAAGGTTTTAAGACTCACCCCGACTGTGCTACAACTCCGGCCTGAAAGAGTGAGCAGACGTCATCTAAACTAATGATACTGAGAAGACTTTTCACTAACAGCACCGTTGTATGTCCGGAGATGGGGGCTTAAAAATAAACATTGGGTCTGATCACACGGGGAGTTGTATTTAACTCTGCTCTACCAGTCACAAGCTGTCCAGTAGCGGGGAGGAAGCCGTTCAGGACACCGTCCTTCGCAAAGATAACCCTTCCCCGACCCACCCGCGAGGCAAAGATTCAGAGTCAGGAGACGACGTTGCGCGTCGACGGCCCGACCCCGAGAAAGATGACTTTGCTGTGAGGAGAGCGAGGATGAACCAGACCAAGCCAAGGGTGCCGTTGAATCAGCTCCTCTACGGGCCATACCGGAAGAGAGAGGCGGAAAAATCAGACGGCAGAGAAGAGCGCTCGAAGGGAATTTCAGAAAAGAACAGGCTAGAAGATAAAAGGTGTGCACTGTGTGTGTGTGTGTGTGTGTGTGTGTGTGTGTGTGTGTGCAGGGGAGGGAGGGGGGAGCATCGCGAAGAGAGGGGTCTCGGGTCTTAGCCCCGCTTCGTTTCTTTTCTGCCCCAGTTACAGGTAGTTGGTCGTGGTGGTTTATCCAGATATCCAGTGCCCCTGTCCATTCAGAGGAAGCAGAAAACACTTGTTCCTTGGCTGTAGCCTCTTCTCTCTTATCGGCGCCTTTTAGATATTGCAAGGCGGGGAGAGCGAGGCTTGCTCTTTATTCCCACGTACCAGCAAAATCGCTTTGGCGTTTAATGATGGATAACCTCTCATTTAAAACAAAACAAACAAACAAACAAACAAACAAACAAAAAAAACAAATCCAGAGTGCCTGGGCCACTCAGTCGGTTGAGCACCTGACTCTTGATCTCAATTCAGGTCATGATCTCAGGGTCGTGAGTTCAAGGCCACACTGGGCTCCACGGTGGGCAGCGAGCCAGAAATGGAACAAAACAACCTTCTCAAAAACACAATACACCTCGATTTTCCTATTTGTCCTGTTACGGAAACTTTCTGAGTTGAGTTTCCTTCTCCCACCATTTTTCCCACCCTCTTAGTTTGGCAAAGGAAAATGGTCACAGGATGGGTTTTGGCCAGCGATTTTTTTTTTAAATCCTAGGAGATGCATGGTTTTATTTAAGGCTAAATTTCATCGTACAGAGTTGATCATTCTTGTATTTTTTTCCTTGTACCAAAATCCGCGATTTGCATCGTCCCAATTTGCCAGCTCTTTGCCCATCATTTTAAGAGGTCTGTGGATTCTGTTGAATGAAGAGTATAAGCATCTTGACTGTGTTTTACACGATCCGGATGGTTCTTTGGGCGGAGTCGCTGAGCCCAGGGGAGTAGTCCGTCCATGGTGGTGGTGGTGGTGGTGGTGGTTCTGGGACGTGACAGGTACTAAATACCTGGAAGCTCCCCCGAAGCAGAGCAGGGATTAGCACACAGAAGCCAGCATGATGTCTTTCATGGGGCGCACTAGAGCTTCGAGAGCCTCTCACCCGTGCTGCTCCTGTCAGCATGCCTTGTAACCACGCGTTTTGCAGGGGATCCATTGGTGCATGTGAAACAGAGACTTCCGGACAATGTGGACTAACATCGTGGCACGTTGATGAGGACCCGCAACTTGAGTCAGGAGAAGGAGGAGCTTTTGTGTCTCCTTTTTCCCCTTTCTCCTGCATGCAATTTTAATTCCTGCTATTTCCAGCCTCGTTTGTGTGTTGTCACCTGACCCCAGGCTCTGGGCCTGGGATGGCCCATGACCTCTCTGGAGAGCATCAGAGAACAGATGAAAGAAGAGAAGGCCCCGGTGGCTCTCGCCTCCACCCTTCCTTCCTCCCCTTTCCCAAACTAAAGGTAAAGAGAAAATCCTGTAGCCCTGCTGCGTGTCTAGGCTCTGCAAACGCAGCACATCATTCAGGTAACAAGAGAATGCCGCTTGGTTTTCTGGCTTGGGTGATGGTGATGCCTTTAAAAAAAAAAAAAAAAACAAATCGCCCTATTATGTAGATTATTGATATTTTCTCTCCTAGGAAGCATGCTTGGCTAGAATCTGGCTTTTAATGCTATGGATGTTTATGCACATGGACGCCACAGCTTTGGTGCAAACGGCACCTGGCAGCATGAAGCCGTCTAACGTCCACGTCTTAGCAGAACAGTTGAGAACATCATTTTAGAAAAAATAAAAAAATAAAAAAAAAGACATCATTTTAGCATCAGCAAAGGGGACGGATTATTAACACAAGAACAAACGGGCGAGCACTGGGTGTTATTCTGCATGTTGGCAAATTGAACACCAATAAAAAATAAATTTATTATAAAAAAAAAGAAGAAGAAAGAAACAAACGGGTGTTGGCTCTGTAGACCCAGGTAAAGGGGATACGGGTCTGTTTGGTTTTCAAGTTGGCGTTCCCCGAACCCAGCTGGTGCCATCAGGAGGCAGAGACGGACCAGGAAGGTCGAGCCCTTCTGTCCTGGACCCAACCTACGTGTCCTCTCCGGCAGTTGCGAGAGTTTGTGGCTGAGAGATTTAGCATGTGAGCCTCGTGCCAGCCGGCTCCAAAGTAATCCTAGAATTTGGATCGTGCAGGGCTCGTTCCTGACATTTTACTGCTGCAGTAAAAGACATTCTGGGCGGGCTCGGGGATTCCATCAGGAGACCGAATTCATTATCGTAACTTGAATAGTGTGGGAATCGGGCTTCGTTACCGGCAACCCGAAATCTCATTACCATTCCTAATGGTCTTCCAGCCAAGCCCCGGCTTCCCTTCCTCAAAGCAGAGAGCGCCCTCGGGTGCAAAAACCCCGTCCCGTGACAGGCTCAGAAGGGTAGCTTGGGTGAAAGGCGGTTCCCTATTCTTTTTTTTTTTTTTTTGAGAAAGGGAAAGGTGCTGCTATCCTGTCCTTGGCCCCTGGAATTCCTTGCTTGACGCTCCGTCTGTCTGTCTGGCCCCCCTCCCTCGAACCTGCTTTTGTCCCAAGGATGTGGGGGCCTGGATAAAACCGACGGATGCCAGGGCTGCTCGCACTCGGGACAGCCGCCTGAAGAAGGGGCGCGAGGACGGCCCCGGTCTTCACCCGGCGGACACTCGGGGCCGGCCCGCCGCCCGCATCACGGAAGCCGACTCGGACGCGTGGAGAGGCTCAGGGTGTGTGGCCTTTGCCCCGGTTCTCCCCGGGCCGCGACATCTTTGCACGTCAGCGGAATCAAACGCCAACCCTGTACCTCTGTGTACTCGCAAGGCCAGAGAAAAACACACCTGTCAAGACACGGGGTCAAGACCCGGGGTAATCGGGCATTAGCTGAGTTAGGAGCCGCTGGATGGAAAGCGTCCTCCTTCCCTGAACCGACTGCCCAAGGGGCACTTGGCGGCTTGTTTAACCGGAGGAACTTACACTTGGATCATGTGGCTGCCCTGCCACCTCCACGGTGTTGTGTCCAAAGGCCAAGGCCGCCCAAGGCCCTGCTCACCCGGCAAGACATGGACCATTTCCTTGTTGGCTCGGCGGATGGAAAAGCAGTTCTGCGAGAGCCGTAGACACAGGTCTCATAGCTCGAATTCAAGGAAATAAAAATAAATAAAAGCTCCTGCTAATCTGCACTCGCCTGCGCCCCCGAGCCTCCACCGGGAACCGAGGCAGAAACCGGCCGCAGCGGTGATCCCGGCGACCACGTGCAGCCCGCGACACGGGTCCCTGCACTTCAGGCTCGTGATGGAGCTCGCGCTGCACCCGGGGAGGCGGCCCGGCTCTGGGTGCCCAGTCCCACCTCCACGTCCTGTTGCTGGTTGCGCTCTGCGGTGGCTCCGCATCAGCGGCACGAGGGTCGTGGCAGGCGTCGCCCGAGTCACCGCCCGGGATCACCCGCAATCTCGGCGAGCGACCCTTTCTCCCTCAGCTCCATCAGGCGCGATTTTATGGGTCGGAGACATTGAAGGAACTCGATGGAAGGTTCTGAGGATCCCCTCATGTTTCCTCTAAGGACGTGCTGATAAAAGTCAGGCTCACCTACCGCCTCCCCGTCTCCGCTTCCACGGAGGGAGGAAAAAAGTCATGATCGACATCAGGAGCTCACATGTGGACGTTGACACGGACAAGGCGAGAGTGAAGATCTCCCCCACATACACTTAAAAAAGTGTAATAAGTCAGTAATGGAAAAAGAGGCCTCGCTGGGGGTTCCTGAGGACCCAGAGTCCCCTGGGCTGAGCCACCACCGAGCAGGCGGGGGCCTGGGTCATCCTGGGCCACCAGCTGGTGTTTCGGAGGCTGACGGGGACCCGGTGGGTGCCGAGGAGCAGAGGCGGCGGCCACCGGGAGCACTCGCCTGTGCTTCTGTGGCTGCCGGGCCCTGGGACGCAGCTCGGCAGCGTGTGCACCCTGGGGCCCTGACGGCAGTCCCCGTGGCCAGGGTGGCGCTCCCCGGGCCAAGCGGCCAGCCTTTGCATGCAGCCAAGGCCCATTCTTGGCGCCGTGAAGCCCAGAGGGGGCCCGTCCCCGCGAAGCGCCCGCTGCACGCCGGCGTCCCCATCAAGGTGGTGGCTGGGACGGTGCGACCAACAACAGCTGGGGCGCGCGGCGGCCTTGACCGGCAGACCCGTGTGCTGCCCTAGTCTATGTCCCCTGGCCTCCGAGCAGAAGGTTAGGGGACAGAAGCACTCGGAGGGGACGGCGGCGCCGCCTGGAGGGGCAGTGACCCAAGCAGCCAAGGGGACCGGCATGGCTCACGACACACGACAGGCTGCCCGCTCAGGGCAACCCGACGTCTGGCACGCATGTGGCATCCAAGGCGAACCAGTTCCCTCCAGTTCCATTTGCAAGACACTGGGCTGTGCAGGAACCCGCCAAGGCCCTGATGACAGATAAGATGTCAGCAGCTTCTCCCGAGCCTTCGCCCCCGGGGGGCCTCGGGCACCTTGAGAACGACCATGGCGCCTCCGTGTCGCCGCCTGCAGTTCTTGCCGACGTGGAATGATAAGAACCGGCCCCGCCTGCCCAGAATCTTTATTTCTTCCTTTCTTGGCGTATAAGCAGGTGTGCAAAGAAGGTGCAGTTGGGGTTTTCCCGCTAAGCACGCTTTTCTGGCTCGTCCTGTGGGCAGCGTGGAGGCGCGAGCTCAGGAGGAGCCCGTTGGAGGGGGGGATCAGAGCTCCTCTCCCACCTGCTGCTTCCACGTTGACCCCAGGACGCTCTCGGCTCCGGGAGGATGTGGACCACTTGCCTGTCGGCGCCTTCAGTTCATTTGAACGTCCGCGAACAGCCAGCAGCGCTGTCCGGAGGCCCTCTTGGGTCGGCCGTGGCTCGATGTGCAGGGAGGAGTAGGGACGGGATCAAGGGCTCGTGGCTGAAGTCCTAGATGCCGAAGCCCCTCCGCTGTTTAGTAGGGGAGCTGCGTCTTTGTTGGGAGGATCGCCCGACACATCTGAGCAGAATGAAGGGGGTTTTGCATAATTATGGGGTGTTTTGCATAATTACAGGGTGTTTTGCATAATTACAGGATCCACCGTGAAACAGGAAGTGATAGAGTTCCGCTTGTCCAAGGACCTGAAAGGACCGGGACAGAGGGTGGGATGGGAGCAGCGAAGACCTTAAGCGACACCCAAGGTTTAGAACCCACGTCCAGCCGCGTCTCTTGGCTATGGCTCTGAGGTGGCCGTTGCCTGAGCCACACGGGCCCCCAGCAGAGCCTCTGGAGCCGGCATCCTCGGTGCCCGGCTTCACCCTCCAGAGCCCCGTAGGGCTTGCCCGGGGCCCGTGCCTCACACGGGCGAGCGGGTCTCTGCGGGTCCCGGCTGGTCCGGGCCGCTCAGGGACCGAGGGGCCACCGCACGCAGCTCCCAGGTGCCCGGACCCAGCAGGGCCCCGTGTCCCCGACCCCATAAAGCAAGTCAGCGTGGAGCGGAGGGTGGTGGCCGCCCTGGGCCTGCTCAGCACTCGCCGCGCTTGCCCCTGCTCAGGCCCCACACGGCCTTTGAGAGGCCGGGTCTTCGCCTGCACTCGGCGGGGAGGAAGCGGGGGCTGGCACCCCCAGCTCGTGATGACCGCGTCCCACAGAAGACCCAGCGGGGGGGTGGGATGAGCACCCGCCCCCCTGCGCAGGAGACCTAGGGGACCTGGAGGCTGCAGGGGCTGATGCATTCCCCGCCTCCGGCTCAGACAGGGTCCTCTTTACCCCATGGGAATGGACGGCTCCTGGGGCACCGAGCAGGTGAGCGCCTCGGGGACCCGCGTCTCCTTCCCCGAGTGCGTGCTGAGGGGTGCTGAGGGGTGACGGCTGGACCGCAGTGGGGCTGGGGCTCGGGGGCTGAGGGCGGGACGGCAGGGAGCATCGGCGGCCACTCCCGTCCCATGACGCCAGCTCCAGGGTGCTGGCGTGTAGGCCGCTGGGTAGCGATGCCCGGGTGCCTCCGGGGGGCACGGGTCAGGAGGTGCGCAGAGTGGACCCCGACCTTCCTAAACGTCCCGGCCTCACCACTGGCCTCTACTCAGAGCCGTTCTTTCTCATCCCTCCCTCTCTTCCTTCCTCCTTCCTGCCATCCTCCCTCCCTCCCTTCCATCCTCCCTTCCTCCCGTCCTTCCTTCCATCCTTCCTTCCTCCCTTCCTCTCTGCCATCCTTTCTTCTGCTGGGACGCTCATACCGACTGTGCTTTGCCCGATCTTGTACCTACTGACCCACCCACTTTGCGCTCCTTAAAAAGTCCCTTTATCAGTGGTTCCCCGGCTTCCCATAGGACACCTGAGAGAAAGCCATCCGGAGCCTGAGCTCTAATCACCTGCTCCCTAATGGCAAGGCCGTTCCGCTCACAGCGATGCCCTCTCAAAGCTCATGAGTGAGTCAGAGAGGAAGTCCCCTAAGTCAGTCCAGGCCTCCCAAAGGGGTGAACAAAGGGCATCCTCAGAGACCGTGCTATTCTTTGGTCCCTAAGTGCCCGACACCTGCTTCCCGAGGGCCTTGTCCGCTCCGTCCTCAGGGAGCCCAGAGAGGCACCCCCGCCCTCCCAGAGCTTGTGCTGTGGTGAGCCCGTGTCTGTCGGCAAAGACCTCCACAAATGCCGTTAAGGATTCTCGGGTACGGGCAGCCCGGGGGGCTCAGCGGTTTAGCGCCGCCTTTGGCCCAGGGTGTGCTTCTGGAGTTCCGGGATCGAGTCCCACCTCGGGCTCCCTGCATGGAGCCTGCTTCTCCCTCTGCCTGTGTCTCTGCCTCTCCCTCTCTCTCTCTGTGTGTATTCTCATGAATAAATAAAATCTTAAAAAAAAAAAAGGATTCTCGGGTAGAAGCAGTGGGGATTCGAATCCGTCCTACGCGCAACGTGTAGCTCAGTCTCCTCGACAAAAACGTGCTAACGGAGCCGAACCCAGAGGAACGCGTACTGCGTGGTTCTGTGCACACGGCACGACATGGTCGACACTAACCCCCGCGCATGTGTGGCCTGTGCAGCTTCGCTGGGGAGTGTGTGTGGCGGGTGCACCTGCTGCGTATACTTTAAAGCTCCATAAAACACTCACAAAGATCCCCAGGAAGAGACGCAAAAACACGTGCTATTGGTCGTCCGTAGGTTAACCAGGCATGACCTCCCTGCTCTCTTCCCTGGAGAATCTAGAAAACTGGATTTGAATACGCCCATTGCAACAGCCCATTAACCGGCAAATGTGGGAGTTGGGGGCTCACGCTCTGTCCCCTGACCTGGGGGAGGTCGTCCATTCCAGTGTCGTCCGGTCCCGAGACAATCGAGGGTTTTCAGACTTTAGCCCCTCCTGGAACTGTCCCCTGGAGAAACAGGAGGCGGGCCTTGCTGCTGGGAGAGAGAGACCCACAAACCCTCTGGTCATTACCCTCCCCCCCCCCCCCCGAGACCTTGGGTCTGGCCCTGGTCCGGTTGCCTTCACTGTGAACTAGGACAATGACCAATCAGTGTTCTAGAACTACGGGAGCAGGTAAGTCAGGGGCGGGGGGGGGGGTGTGCACCGAGCATTCCGGGGTGTTTTCCCTGAAGATGCAGGAACACGTCTTTAGAAATCACTCTTTTCCCCATAAACTGTTACAAAACTGAACACGAGACTAGGTAATTTTTGCTGAAAACCCCAAAATTCAACTTGCTGGGAACTGAAAGCAGAGCTTTTTTTTTTTTTTTCCCCTTTACTCAAATAAGTCTTTGTCCACCATCAGAGTGAGAAATGAACAGCTTCTGAGGGCGGAGGTAAGAACCTTCTTTTAAAATTTCCCTTGGCTCAAGAGCTCAGGAGACAGTCCTTTGTGGAAGCGGCTTTTTAAAAAACATGCTTTAAAATATGTCTTTTCAGTGCCCTCATTTCTCTCTTTTTTTTTCCAATTTAACCTTTTTCTTGGCTTTATCAGATACCTTAAAATGTAAAGTGTCTGTACTGCAGAAGGTACAGCTTTGTAGCTCTGAATAATCAGACTGTAAAAGATTGTAAAAAAAAAAAAAAGATTCCAAAACTTCGGTTTTTCAAGTTATGGAATATTATCCAAGTCTGGTTTTGATTAGGGCCCTGCCAGTTTTCTAGGAATTGTGGTTTTTGTCAAATGCATGCAGAAGGCACTGATTGGGGCTCTGGTTGGAGTTCTGGTTTGCTTTCAGAAAACTGCAGAAACGCTCCCTGATGGCACTTGTGCAAATGCATGAGCGCGGCAGGGCGGGGTCGGGAGCTTGCGCCCCACGCCGGGCGCCCCTGGAGCCTGCCGCCCGCCCGCCACCGACGTAAGGGCATGAGCAATTTAACCGTTTGTGACCAACTGTAATTCAGGTTTGGCTTCTCTTCTCCTTCCTCCTCTGACACTGCCTCCTGCACACATCGTGGGCCGCACCTAAGCCGCCTTGTGTTTGGACTGAGCAGATTTTTTTTTTTTTTGTGGGCAGCACGGGGGCCTATTTTCACTTCTTCTCGGTGTTTTAATACACGTTTTGCATTCCTTAGAAATGTCGGGACTCCGTTCTCGGTCTCAGCAGCTAACGACGCTTCTCTTCCAGTGTGATGGGCAGCGACGGCCTGGCCGCAGACACGTCGCAGGCGATGTCTGCTGCTGGCCTGGTTCCGGAGCTGACCGTCGGTCTCGCCCCCTCCTCTAATTTTGTGTTTGGTCTTGTAGATACGGGCCGAGGACTCCTGTGTCTGATGACGCAGAGTAAGTTGCCTTGCGTTTGTAGGAACCCGGTAATAATAACTGGCCCAAGCTGCATGCCCGAGGGACTCCCCACTAATGGAAATGCCGTGGAGGCAGCAGCGAAGCGAGCGGCTGGCCTGCCTCACGCGGCCCCGGCAGCGCTCGGAGCGGAGCGCAGGACGTAGGCTCCTGCGGGGATGCGGGCGCGAGGGTGCCCCAAGCATGACTCTGAGGCACAGCTGCTGCTTAAATCCTAACATTTGCTTTCCACGGGTGTGGCATGGCGGGGCTGCTCGTAGGACCCGGCTGTTGGTGCCCCTTGTGAACCACAGAATCGTTCTGCATTTTGCACTTAATTCTTGATATGTGAGGACTTGGCCTTAACAATGAAGCAAGTCATTCTCACGGCCTTGGTTTTTGTTTTTTGTTTTTTTTTTTTTTTTTTAGCTAAGAAAATAAATCCTAAACCACTAATGATGGCTTCAGAAGCCCAAGTTCCTCCCAGGTTGGAGTAACGTAAACTGTGGGATGCTCAAGACCAGACCCTTGAGGTTTCGTTCGAATTCTGTGGCATAGCAAGGGGTCAGGATGTCCAACACTACGTGGGCTTTCCGCTCCCGGCTCCTTAGCTTCCGCTGCTCTCGGAGGGTCATTCCCTGCCTCTGCCTCACATCTCAGTGTGAGAAGCCAGCCCTCCCCACCCGTGACCGCAGTGACTCCGTCTCAGAAACGGGTTGCCCATCTGCAGAGCATCCCGAAGCAGAAATCCTCCAACGCAAAAGTCCCCTTTGCAGATTCCTAGTTTTCGCAGATCTGGGTAAATTTTTGTATTTTAAGAAACTTAATTCATATCTAATTCCCAGGGAGTGGCACACCGGCCACCCCGTGGGAAGCGCTGTGCGTGCTGGTGCGGCCCGGGCCGTCCGACCGGCAGCACTGGCCTGAGACGCGGACGGCACCAAGGGGTCAAGGTGTGAAGACTCAGAAATGCCTGCCGCCCACGGCAATGCGATTAGGCCCCCAGCTCGCTGTCCCAGGACCGCGTCCCCGTTGGCGTTCAGGTGTCCGCTTGCTTCGTGCTCCTCGCGCTAAGGCATCCGCCTCGGGTGCCAGGGCGTGTTCCCTTGTGCAGCCAGCAACTGCCTGGTGGCCCGGCGTGCAGGACGGTCACGTCACAGCCCTGAGGTCTCCCCGAGCTGGACGGGCTGCGTGGCGCCGAGGCGTCTGCAGGGTTGAGCCCTGCTTCTCACTTACAGGGTCTGTGGTGGCGACAGAGCCCCCCCAGGAGGGACACGGGCAGGACGGGCCGGCACCAACACGCTGGTGGGCTGGACTTGCTGTCCGCCGGTGCAGAGCCCGATGGAGGTGCACTTCCCGGGAGCTTGGGGGCAGGAGGCCGCAGCCGAGTCTTGCTGCGCCTGAACGTGAGACCTCACCCACAGGAAACGTCTGTGGGTTTTGTTTTTCCTTAAGGCGGTGCCGGTGGGTCTCCCCGCTCCGCTCCAAATTCACAAAAAGCAGCCTCGTGGCCTAAGAGGAAGCGGAGCTGCCGTCCAGGGGTCTTACCTGGAGCGTCCAGGGGCCCGCAGGTGCCTCTCGGGAGCGGACACGCCTCCCCGAAACCGCGAGGGGCGCAGAGTGCAAGGTCGTGTCGGGAGATTGTTTCTCAAGTAGAAGCGTTAGTGGCCCAGTTCATTCCCCACTCTCACCCGCTTCGGGGACCTTTCGGGGGCCACGACTGGCCGGGCTCTCTACTCAGGAGCGGCACGTTCTCAGGACAGCCCCAGTCGAACAAAGATGTGCCCTTTAAGGAAAACGCAGGTCGGGGTGGGGGTCGGGGTGGGGGGCAGAGGTTTCCACCTCCCAGGCGTGCCCATGCATCTAGTTTCGCCCCCTTGCCCTGCTCTTCAGGTGCACACCCCTCAAGCCTGCGCCCCCCCCCCCCCGGGACCCTGTCCCAGCAGCATGTGGCACGGGCTTGGAGCAGATGCTCCATGCAAGTCACATCAACATCCTGCAACCTGGGCTCCTCCACGGCCCCCACCTGCCCCCAGATATGCGCCCCTTCGCGCTGGAGGCCGAGTCCCACCTCTGAGGTCTGAACATTTTCCCGATGGTGACTCAGCCCATGTTCTAGCTAGTATTATCAATTCTCCACTTGCTTAGTTCCTTTTTTTTTTTTTTTTTTTTTTTTGGCCAGTTTGCTGGTATTTCTTAACCCAGAACAAAACAGAAAAACCCCTATCGGGGAAAATAGTCCTTCCTGGTATCCGGGAGGGCAAACGAGAGTTTCTCTTTTTATTCCGCCCACACTTGGGCTGCGGTAATTACAACTTCACGATGGGGCGGAGACAGGAACCCAGGGCAGAAGAGGGCACTTCCCAGGGCCTTGCCCCCGTCCTCTTCCGAGTGACCAAACCAAATCCCAAATCTTGGACAAGACATTTTTTCCCTGGGGTTCCAGAGGGAGACCCGGCTCCAGGAATGCGATGAATGTCAGTCTCCCTCCGGAAAGCCTACTTAAGTGAGTTTTCATGCACGATGTTAAAAAAAAACAACAACCAGGTTAGACTTTTCTACCTACTCTGCAAACTCCCCAAACCTTCTTAAACGACATTAATAAATAGTAAAAAAATAAATGAAAAGCCACAGCCCCTTGCCCCTTGGAGGGCTGCGCTTTATCCTTCTGGAAGGCTTGGCGGCCGTGGGCAGCACTACCTACGGAGCGTGCAGAGGCGGCTCCACGTGCTGGCTTGTCCCATCTGTGCCATAGAAGCCGCAGGTAAAAGTCCTTCCATGCAGTCTATGCAGTCAAGGTATCAGAATGCTCTTGGGGAAGATCAATTACAAGCACAGTCTCCCGTGCTGGCTCTCTTAGGTCAGACTTAAATAATCCAACGTGTAGACTGAAGGGGGAGGCCCCCCAACGGATTGAACCTGGACGCATCCCCATGAAGGTGGGCGGCCACTGCCCTGAGCGTCGGTCTTCCCCTCCCAGAGAGCTGGGCGCTAAGGACCCACCGGCATCCAGCGCTGCTGCTGCTGCTGCTGCTGCTGCTGCTGCTGCCGTCGTCTGGCCGTGGGGATGACTATTTTGCACGTCACCCTGATGTCTAGAATTAATCGGTGTCTAAGTGCATGGCTTTTCTTTTCTTTTTCTTTTTTTTTTTTTTTGCATTAAGCTGGCTTCGAAAATGGACTCTCCTCATCTTGCGTTCTTGGAGTTTAACAGCAGACCTGCATTTTTTTGATTTTGGACCATGTGACCCACTTGGTCCCAGAACTCATTTCTTTGAGAGAAGGAAAAAAAAAAAGAGGGAGGGAAGGAGAGAGGGAAGGAGGGAGGGGGAGGATTTTGCTTTGGTTTGTATTTCTGTTTTCATCTTGCTGCTTCAGCTTTTGCCGTAACAAAGGCCGCGTGAGCACCATGGAATAGTCCCTGTGTTCTTGCCCAATGTGTAATGCGCTCCTACAGAATATTATCAGTAATACGTGTAGCCTAAGGGTCTAAAAAATTGCTCGCCCTCCCAAAGAGTAAATTTAGAAGCCAAAGTAAGGTAAAATGCTCATGAGACTATTAGGATACGCTGGTTTCTATGTTTTACTCCTGCGTCCTTACAATAAAACACCTTATATCATTGATTGCAAGGTGCTATCGACTGCACTACCAGTGTAGACATTCTTACAGGAACCAGAAGTAACCACATCAGATCTATGAGTCAGTCAAGCCTAGGGCTGGATGCAGCCGCAGCTCAGAAGACGCAGCTAGGAGCTTGAGCCTGGAGGCCGGGTGATGCCTGGAGGGTGCAGAGGTCGCCTGAGTTAGTGTGCAGAGCGTGTAAGGCAGCTCTTGACGCACGAGCGCCCACCTGGGTGCAAGTTCTGCTTTGTGGAATGCCAGCCTCCTTGCCCACAGTCTCCCGCCTGCACCTTCTGTCTTCACTCCGCTTTCTGACACATTTGCCAATGAGAAAAGCCCGGAGCTCCCCAGTACCTTCCCTGCTCTTCCAAACACATCCCGGCACCTGCACCCTCAGTCCCATGGGCCGCGTCGCTGGCTGCGGCCGCCCTGCAGGCCGAGTGGCTGCGGGAGGGGGGGGGGGCCCTCCGGGGCGGAGCGTGCCGAGCAGCAGGACCCGGCCCATGGCTGCCCCCCGTGCCCCCCAGGAGCTCCAGCCTGCTGGACATGCGGTGTGAGGAGGAGACGGCGGTGCAGCCGCACAGCAGGGCCCGCCAGGAGCAGCTGCAGCTCATAAACAGCCAGCTGCGCGAGGAGGACGACAAGTGGCAGGACGTGAGTGCCGCGGGCTGCGGGCCGGGCTGCGCCTGCACGGGGGGCAGGGGGCCTGCGGGCTGAGAGGCCCTGTCATAGCCCGAGTGCCGGGACCCGGGGCCGGGGCAGGGAGGGCCAGGACGGTGACCGGACCGGGCGTGGCCCTTCACGGTCCTCACAGAGCCCCCGAGCAGCCCGTGGGGACCCTACCGTCCAAGAGCTAAAGCCTGTAACACCGACGGTAGGGCTGGCACCCCGTAGGCACCCCACCTTGTGACCCCGGGGAGGCTGGCAGGAGTCCACGTCACTGCCACCCTCACCTTAGACATCGGGGAATCGAGGCACAGATAGGCTGTTAAACGTGCCGAGATCCCAAAGCAGGGAGGACCCGCTCGGCTGCACCCCCACCCACCCAACCCCACAGGAACAATGACCTCTGCCTTCTGCGGGGTCTGTGCCCGTTCCCAACCACTCCGTCGTCAGCAAGCACAGCCGCAACGTGCGGGCCATAGATGGGAAAAAATGAGGTTTCCCAGGGGCCCCGGGAGGCAGCACCTTAAACCCCAGCGGCTGGCTATGAGTGAGCTATGATGCTAGCTCATATTACCATGGTTACGCGGACCGCTGCCCTGGCCCGGGGAACGGGCTCCATCCAGATGTCTCCTGCCTTCGAGGCGTCCCTGTTCCCACCAGACTTCCGCTGGGTTGAGTGGGGGCGGCTCGCCGAGCGCTGGGCCCACGAAGGGGGACCCAGGCTCGCCTGCGCATCCGTAGCAGCATCTCATGTCTCCCCGACCCCCCCCCCACGCCCCCAGGACCTGGCTCGTTGGAAGAGCCGTAGAAGAAGTGCTTCCCAGGACTTAATCAAGAAAGAGGAAGAGAGGAAGAAAATGGAGAAGTTACTGGCTGGAGAGGATGGGACGAGTGAACGAAGGAAAAGCATCAAAACCTACAGAGAAATCGTTCAAGAAAAGTGAGTCATTTCTGTTGTTGTTTTAAACATGCAGTAGTATCGAGATGTGCTTCGTTCTAAGACAGTGGTTGTCGCGAAGGCTCGGACACCCACGTGGCCCGGGGTGTCCCCCTTTCAGCTCAGCCTTGGCTCCTACCAAGGTCTTTGTGATTTTATGACTGTTGACTGTGTCGTTGCTTCCCCTGCCGTGTCCATCCTGTAGGGAGCGGAGAGAGAGGGAGCTGCACGAGGCCTATAAGAACGCGCGGTCCCAGGAGGAGGCAGAGGGGATCCTTCAGCAGTACATCGAGAGGTTCACCATCAGCGAGGCTGTCCTTGAACGCTTGGAGATGCCAAAAATTCTGGAAAGAAGCCATTCAACGGAGCCAAACTTAACCCCCTTCCTGAACGACCCTAACCCCATGAAGTACCTGCGGCGACAGTCACTGCCTCCACCCAAATTCACTGCCACCGTGGAGACCACCATCGCCCGGGCCAGTGTTCTGGATACTGGCGTGTCAGCAGGTGGCGGGTCTCCAAGCAAGACTGTCCCTTCCAAAGCAGTGCCTATGCTGACACCCAAGCCTTACTCCCAGCCCAAAAACTCTCAAGACGTTCTGAAGACCTTTAAGGTAGGACGCACTCCCTAAGAATCCCAGGTATTCGATCCACAAAAAGAAGCATCTTGCCCCCAAGAAGATGCAATTATTTTTTATCAAGCAAAAGCAGAATGGTTTAGCGTTCCCCATTGTGAAGGTTGGGTCTCAGGGGATTTGGTTAAAGTCTCCAAATAGGAGCGGGGTTTAGTTCCAGTCCCATATAACTGGTCTCTCTACCCTTGATTTAGTAAAACCCTGGGGCTCTCCGGCCATGTGGAGGTCTAGCAAACTCCCCCAAAACAAAATCGTAATTGCCTTTGGTTTAGATAGAGGCGTATGCAGCCACCCCTTCTTTTTTAAAGAATTTGGCATCATGTCCGAAAAGATGCTAGAGTCGCACAGAAGGAACTACGCAAGGAGCCCATAGGAACGCGGGATGTCCTTGATTCTCAGATGAGACAGGTTTCGAAAAATATTTTTTTAAGGGGAAAAAAACTAGGTTGTTTCCTGCTGATGAGTAGGTAATTTTCCAGAACCAAGAACCTCCTGTGTCAACCAAGCATCTTCACGCTTCCTCAGATTCCAGTGTTTTCCATCACGTCACGAGGAAGCAGGCCGTTCTTTGGCTTATGCTCTTTTGACTACAAAGAAAAACTGGTTTTCGTTGTCCCTGCACAACACGTGGGTTCTTAATGGGTCACAGAGGCGGGATTCATGAGCAGGAGACACGGGTACGTGGCCGTAAGGAAAGTCTGCTTGGCTACTGACCGTTGATGATGTGACGTCACGGATCTTCCCATCGAATTTCAGAGGGAACCAAACGTGGCTTAACTGACTCGGGATGGGTCTTAACCATCCTTGCCTTATGCTTTGATGGAACAGAAGGAGGGTGTCCTGGATGTCCCGTCTGGGCTGAGTCAAGATGTGGGTCCCTCGTGGGGCTGGGGCTGTGTCTTCCCAGCTCTGTCCCGGGAGCCTGGCCTAGGTGCCCGGCACGTAGTGGGCGCTCAGGAAGTTCTTAGTGAATAAATACATGGATTTCCCCCTGAGAAGCTGAGCTGCTCATCATGCACACTCACACAGGGACGAGTGTGTCCCCGTCGCGCTCACGTCCCACCTATGCTGCGGCAGCTCTCCGTCTCGGGCTCATGACCCAGCGCGGTCCGTGATGGTTTGCAAAGGAACATGCGATGCGGAGGTGGCCCAGCGCGGGGACAGGAATACCTTTACTTGACTTGGTACCCGAGCATCTGCTGGGATAAGCCAGCTGTCCACTTCCCGTCCTCTATGTGAGTAGTACAAGGTGGTCATGTAAACTGAGGAACCAGGATAGATGACTTGAAGGCAGGACTTTGACCCTGAGGAAACCTTGCCTCCCACTGTCGTGGCAAATCCGCGTAAGAGGGCCTCAGGAGGAACACGCATGGGGTGGGGGGAGCAGAGCTTCAGCTGAGATCTTTTTAGAGCTGGGGTTTGCTCTTGACCACCCACGAGCTGTGGACGCGTCACTGGCGTTGGGGGCTATTGCCCCATACGCAGCCCACCATTGACCAGCCATGGCCATGTGCAAAGGGTAAGGCCAGCTCAGAAGCTAAGGGGGATGTGCGTGTTCCTGTGGGGAGGGCAGGGGGCGGCGGGGACAGACAGTATGGGCTCAGGTTCCCAGGACGATACAATTAAGGGTAAAGGATGATCAAGTGAGGAGTTAAAGGCAGCGTTTATCACAGTGACAATTGCTACCTGTCACCAGGTTGTGAAATTCACTTAGTAGCTTGGTATCAGCATTTTTTTAAAATAAAGCAAAATTAAAAAATAAAAAATAAAAATAAAAAAAAAACAACCTCTAGTGCACCACACAGAATACAAGTAAATAGCGTTTCTGCAAAAGTCCTTTTTCAGCTGTATTTATGGGGGGGGGAGCTCAGCTGTGATTTGAGTTTCTTTCTTACAGATCACAGGCAGCAGATTACGTGAGCCACTGGCTCACGGTGAATGAGCAACACCTAACACCTGGCCTTCCCTGGATTCCTTGCGGAGGATCTTAGGGCACCTCGTAATTATAATAGCTAATGTTTACACGCACGGAATGTGCCTGACACCGTTGTAAACTCCGTACGTGAGTCAGTCCGTGAGATCCCCTCCATGGTGCTCTCCGGGAGATGCAGGTGTTAGGGAGTTGCTGGGTGGGGAGCCCGAGCACGCAGAGGGAAACACCTGAAGATCATGTGGTTTGGGACCCGAGGGGGGCTGACTGCAGAGCTCCTCGCATGACTGCTGTGTACTCGCCTCAGACCCCAAGACGGGGCGTTCTGGGTGCCTTTCAATAAGCCAGACCTAGCTGACCCCCCTCTCAACTCCTCCTTTCTTGCCTTTCCCACCTTGCCTAGACATGGGTGCAAAACAAAGTATTTTAATGTGTATGGCCTTCCGTTCTGGAAAAAATCGGGATTGTAAAATTACCTGGAAATAGGGCTTTACTGCGATGTAGCGTAGCATCGGGCCAGGGGCCCTCCGTGTTAGCTTGCGAAAATGTACCCGTTGCCCCCTTACCGCAGGGTAACCCGTAAAAGATTCCTGATCTGATGCGGGTTCCACCTCATTCATAGAAAAAAAAAATCTCAGTCGCGGAATAGCATTCAGAATTTAAATGGAGAAGTAGTGCAATCCAAGTAGGTGATGTGCATCTGTACTTAAGATTCCTTGATTTTTTTCTACACTTAATTTTTTTTGTATTTTTTATATTTATATATATTTATATATTTATATATTTTTATAAATATATTTTATATATTATATTTATATTTTATTTTATTTGAAATCAATTAACATGGTGTGCTAATTAACGTAGTGTATTATTCATTTCAGAGTCTACGTTTTAAAATAAGAGCCCACCCCAAGTAAGGTGAGCATGAAATTTAATCCAAAGTGAAGTGGCCTGAGATTTATGACCTTTTATTTTTTTTCCTTCAAAGCCTAAATATTTATTTTTTTATTTATTTTTAAATTTTTTTTATTGGAGTTCAATTTGCCAGCATATAGCATAACACCCAGTGCTCATCCCGTCAAGTGCCCCCTCAGTGCCCGTCACCCAGTCATACGGTCTCATTCATTTGGGGATTTATGACCCTTTAAAGAGGCCATCAGAAAGGTCATTTATGGGAGCCCTGATTTCCAGAACGGATGGGGGCATATGAAAGACCTCATTTCTTTGCTGGACTCTGATTAATAAATGATAATGTCTTCCAATGACCCTAAATGTGTTATCTCGTTGGGAAATAGCATGTTTTTTGTGCATTGTGTGTCTTACAGGTAGATGGGAAAGTCAGCATGAATGGAGAAGCAGTTCATGGTGACAAGGAGAAGGAGAGAGAATGTCCCACGGTGGCACCTGCCCCCTCATTAACCAAACCCCAGATGTTTGAAGGTGTGGCCAGAGTGCACGGGTCCCCAGCGGAGCTCAAACAGGACAACAATAGCATTGAGATCAACATAAAGAAGCCCAGTTCCGTTCCCCAAGAACTGAGAGTAAGAGCGAACTTTTCTTTTCCTTTTTTTGGGGTGATTCCGTGGTGAAAGAGTCTACTATTAAAAATAAGTCGGTCTTGAATAGCCACCGTTTCTTCCCTCCGCGTGGGTATGTCATCTTGCTGAGGCTGCTGTAGCAAAGTGCCATACGTTGAGTGGGTTAGGAATCAGAAACGACCTGTGTCATAGTCGTGCTGGCCGGGAGCCCAAAGTGAGGGTCTTGCGGGATGGCCCCTTCTGCAGGCTGCGAGGGAGACTCTGCTTGTTGCCGCCCTGCTGGTTTCGGGGGTTTGCTAGCCCATCTCTGGCTGTCGTTGGCTTGTAGAAGCGCCGCCCTGCTCTCTGCCTTCATCTTCACCTGCAATCCTACCCGTTCCCTGCCCGTGCCCAAGCCTCCCCTTTCTGTAAGGACACACGTTATCCTGGATGAGGGACCCACTCTGCTCCGGTCCTAGAGGTCAGGGTTAGGACCACACCTAATGTGACTCGTTATATCTGCAATGAGGTTACCTCCCAGGAAGGCCTCGCCTTCCCAGGAGTGCAAGGAGGTAGGACTTCAACACGTGAATTTGGGGTGCTGTGGGGAGACACAATTCAACCCGAACCGTGGGGTGTTACAGAAGTTGTATTATAGCTTATGAATAACAGAGACTTTTCCTTGTCTTCACATTCTTGGTTATCTAGTGTTACAGAAAAATAAATCCATCTCTAAAGGACCTTTTCCCTCCCTCTTTGTTCCCCATCAGACTTGTGAATATGTGTGAAAACGACTGGTGCCCTAAGGACCTGGCTTTCCATCCTTGACAAATGTATGAAAGAGTATCTATCTTATTAGCTAAATAAATAAATAAATAAATAAATAAATAAATAAATAGATAGATAGATAAAACTACAAAAAGATAAAAAAAACCCAAAAGATTAAAAGCAATAAAATGTTTTATTAGTTTAGCCCCTTAAATTCAGAGCAACTGGACCCAACTATTGAGTGGCCAAGCTGAAAAACGTAGGGTGGTTCAAGAACAGCAGAAGAGAAAACTCAAAATCCTATTATATTTGCTGGTTCAGAATGTAAAATACAGTCAGGAAGAGCACGCTTTCCAGGGGCTCTCAGGACGGGTCCTGCTGGTTTTGTGGCTCAGACCCAAACTTTCTCGACCACGGACACCGCCCAGCTCTTAGGACGTAGGCTGGACTCTGCACAGTCTTGTTCATTCTCACCAGACGCTGATTTCTGCAGTCTTCGTCGCTGGAGTTTGGGTCAGGATCGCAGAGGATGGGGGAGACCTTCACAGTTTTATGCCCCAGAGCCTGGAAAGGTCCGACACAGAGGGAAACTTGTCTTCCGAGGCTGAGTCAGAAGACCCAGCGAGCTAAACTCCCCAGTGGGCTGGACCTTATTTTTCTCATCTCCGGAGATATCCTCTTATCTCTTACCCTCGTTTAAGTGCAGTGTAGTTGGCGTACCATATCCTCTTCATTTCAAGGGCACGTCAGAGCGATCCGATAGCCTTCCACATTGCGAGCGGTCCCCACAGTGAGTCCGGGTACCGCCATCGCCGTACGAAGTCGTCACAATATTACGGGCTGTCTCCACGTGACCTGCTGTATAACCAGGAGCTTATTTATCTATTTTTAATTCTTTGAGGAACCTCCACACCGTTTCCCACAGTGGCTGCACCGTTTGCATTTCCCCCAAGAGTGTACAAGGTTCCCTTTTCTCTGCCTCCTTGCCAGCTCTGATTCTTTGTCTTCTTGGTGTAGCCAACGGGACAGGAGTGAGACGGTATCTCGTTGTGGTTTTTTGTTTTTTGGTTGTTTTTTTTTTCTTTTTTGGTTGTGGTTTTGATTTGCATCTCCTTGAGGACAAGCGACGTGGAGCATCTTCCCGTGTGCCTCTTGGCCATCTGGGTGTCATCTTTGGAAAAACAACTCAAGTCCTCTGCCTTTTTTTTTAATCACTTTGTTTTTTGATATCAAGAGGTGTAACTTCTTTATATATTTCGGGTGTTAATCCCGTTATCGGACGGGTGACTTACAAACATCTTCCTTTCCGTAGGTTGCCTTTTCGTTTTGTTGATGATTTCCCTGGCCGTGCAGGAGCTTTTTAGTTTGATATAATCCAGTTTTTCCAGGGTTAGCTTCTGTTAGCCCAGCCAGAGGAGACTGGTCCAAACGAACACTACTGAGACAAACGTCAAAGAACCTATGATTTCCTCTAAGTATTTTATGGTTTTCGGTATCACAGTTAATATGTTGATCCATTTTGGATTTATTTGTAGATGGTGTAAGATAATGGCCGTGTTTCATTCTGGGGTTTGTCTTTTGAAGAATAAAATGTGTTTTCTCAGAGGAGCTGGAGGACGTAGGTCTTCCCCATGGTGCCCAAGTCCTGTGGAGGAGTTTCAAACTGGAATAAACCTAAATAATTTCCTCACCATGGTAACATATTCACTGGCCTCCAGGAGCAAAGTTTTGAGATCCATGCATATGCTGAGTCTCTCATTGTGGAATTTAATCTCACTTTTCATTTGCATAAATGTTATCATCTCTGAAGAATTCTTAACAAATTATCCTAAGACGAAATGTTGAGTTTCGCTGCTAGCGTGGGAACTTCACTGGTAGAGTCAACACACGCTCTTAATTTTAAATTAGAAGTGCCTGTAATTAACTCGACATCGCAGTGGTAGGATTGCTCTTCTGGGACACTCAGGAATTCTGTTCTTATTTGTCTTTTGCCACAGTTATTGATACGCATTTCTTCAGTTCCCTCCATAAGGACTTTCCATGACTCGGTTTGATGACTCTGTCAGGCCACAGGCCCTTTGCACATACTATCCAGCACAGGTCTTTCTCATTCTCCTTGGGAAAAGCAATGTTTTGGTGCCATGCTTGTCCCGTGACACCTGCCATGTAATAGAGGGACACAGGACTGACTCGGGCACAGCCGACTGAGTATGAGAACAAACCCTGAGGGCTCTACTATCGGGCACATGTCTGCTTTCTACCTCTTAGCCAGTTCTGCCCTCTGACCATTTTGTTGTTTGAGTCTGGGGGAAACCCTGCCCTTGGATGAATAGATTTTATTCCCAACAGAAGTTAAAGAGATGAGATTGCGGTATGAAGCCCAAACTTTCTCTAAGTCTTTAACCATTTAGGGGAAAAAACAGCTTTTTCTGTGGCATTAAGCAGAAGACTCCTAAAAAAGAGCAAGGGGTTTGTTGGTTTGTAGAGAAGCATAGCCTCCCTTTAAAAAATATACTCATTCTTGATGATTAGTAATTCTCTTATTTTTACAGGGAGCAAAATTCTCCAAAAAAGCGATGTCTTCTCTTTTTAGGGGCAGGCATTTTCCACTTTAAAAGTCGTTAAGCACCCTGAGGTCAAAGCAAAGAGGGACCAAAATATTTCACACTTGTTGCATTGTCCCCTGAAGTGTCTTGTTTGAGGAGGAGCAAAATCAGATGATCTGAAAGGAATCAGGTTACTTCAGAAATTCATACAGCATAACCAGGAGAGCTCTGATCTGAAGGTGTCCTGCTGGGCTTCCTTCCCCTGAGCCACTGATCCAGGTGGGGTCAAGGTGTGGGTCCAAACTCATGGAAAAGCCTGGGAGGCTCTTCCTGTATATGCCCCTTACTTGAAAACACTGCCTAGTTTAGGGGTGCCCGGTGGGGCAGTCGGTCAAGCATCCAGCTCCTGGTTTCGGCTCAGGTCCCGATCTCAGGGTCGTGGGATGGAGCCCCATGTCTGGGTCTGCACTCGGTGTGGAGTCTGTGGGGGTTCTCTCTCCCGCTCCCTCTGCCCCTCCCATGTGTGCTCTCTCTCTAAAATAAAGACCTCTTTTAAAGAAGAAGAAAGGAGGAGGAGGAGGAGGAGGAGGAGGAGGAGGAGGAGGAGGAGAAGAAGAAGAAGAAGAAGAAGAAGAAGAAGAAGAAGAAGAAAGAAGAAGAAGAAGAAGAAGAAAAGAAAAGAAGGAAAGAAGAAGGAAAGAAGAAGAAGAAGAAGAAGAAGAAGAAGAAGAAGAAGAAGAAGAAGAAGAAGAAGAAGAAGAAGAAGAAGAAGAAAGAAGAAGAAAGGGGCACCTGGGTGGTTCAGTGGTTGACCGTCTGCCTTCAGCCCAGGGCCTGATCCTGGAGACCTGGGATCGAGTCCCACATTGGGCTCCCTGCATGGAGCCTGCTTTCTCCCGCTGCCTGTGCCTCTGCCTCTCTGTGTATGTCCCATGAATAAATAAAATCTTAAAAAAAAAAGAAAGGAAGGAAGAAAGAAAGAAAAGAGAAAAGAAAAGAGAAAAGGAAGGAAGGAAAGAAGGGAGGAAGGAAGGAAGGAAGGGAGGGAGGAAGGGAGGGAGGAAGGAAGGAGTGTCTGGTTCGGAGTAATTTCTGGCTCAAGAAGCCCTGGTGGTTTCGAGGAGGAAGCATTCATTGCTCTGCCTCTGGGCCTCAATGCCCTTGGTCAACCGATGCGGGGCCGTGGCAGTATTTCCTGGGGAGGTGGCTCCGCGTGTGCCTGCTAGACAACGAAATGTCGGTGCGTCATTATAACGTCTCCATACTCACAGTCCATGACTCCAGAAGTTTTCCATTCCCAATGTGTTATCTCCAGCGTCATTTTAAAGGACTCTCTTCTCTAGTAAACCTACTCCCCATTTTACTTCCTCCACCGCACGCCAAGAAAAGCACTTCTCACTGCGTAACAGCCAGTGTATCCCTGGGGAAGCGGTGGGCCTGACTGGTCAGGGCAGGGTATGGCGACCAGCTTGAAACAGGGGCCTCCTGGGGCCTGATACCAGCTTGGACTCGGTTCTGTTTTCTAATTCATTGGCCCCACAGAGTGGGGAGTCAAAGGAATAGTGTTCTCTTTAAATGGTGTCTTTCTTCCAAAAATTGCATTCCCAACAGATGCACTCTCTACAGAGGAGTAGCCTCACCCACCACGAAAATGTCACAGTTGTCCAGGGCGAGCTGGAGCTGTCCCAAGGGCACAGCAGCCGTGGGCAG